AATAGTTGCATAAGAGTCATTCAAACCAGCTAGAAACTTGATTATCTTGGCATGATCATTGCTCTTATCCATTATCCCACAACATTTGCAATTATGACAAGTGCCAAGGCAATTTGCACCATCAAGATCATCCCACAGAGTTTTCAATGTTGTATAGTAATCAGATAAATTCATCGATCCTTGTTGCAGCGTCCATATTTGTTGAGTGAGTTGATAAGAACGTGGAAGATTAGTAATATGAAACCGAGTCATCAAATCTTTCCATATCGCAGATGCATCACAGAAACGAAGGATACTCTTATAAATCTGCTTACTAACAGTATTCAAGATCCAAGACTTAACCATGCTATTGCATCTTGACCAATATCTGAAGCTAGGATCCGTATCCAAAGGTCGAGATAAAGATCCATCAACAAACACCAATTTGTTCTTTGCATCAAGAGCAACAGACATAGCTATAGTCCAAGTAGAATAATTCGGTCCATCAAGAACCTCTGTGATGATTACACTTCCCGGATTATCGGCACTCGTAAGATAATAAGGTGAATATAGATCTGTGTAATTAATCGGAGAGTGCGAAGTTACCGGAGGTGGAATCGGAGGATTATGAACCAGCGGAGGAGAAATCTGTGGAATCGGACTTGTTTCACGAGGAACTGACGATCTTTCAGCTGATCGACGCGATCGCACCGTACGACGCCGTAGATTATGAACGGAAACCATCGTATTCACCGGATTTTGATCGGAGAACAAAGAAATCAAAGAAAAAAAAATGGTGGAATGGATGAAATCGAAGGTGGAGAAGATGAAAACGAAGTGATCTGCGAGCTTAATCTGAAGAAAACTCGAAGAATCGAAGGATTTTGCGACGAAAACGGAGCAATTGCTCTGATACCATCTTAGTGTTCGTGAGAAATCTAACAAGAAGAAGAAAGTTCTTTATTTCTCACAGAAGATTCTGTTACAGGTGGTTCACTATTTATAGTGATAATACATATACCGGTTGACCGGTTTACTCCAAATTAAGCAATGTACTAAACCGTATCTATATGGTTTGATAAACATGGTCGTACATGTAGCGTAATGGCAGAACTTAACTCTCTGTAGGTATCAGGTCCTTAGTTCGAGCAATATACAATGATTTAAGCACCTCATCACTTTGGACCGGCCCTGGTTCTACCATTCATTTGTTTTGTCTAGTAATGTTTTCAAACTCCACGCTAAGCATCTAACTACCTAAGAGACATAATAGTGACAGTGATATCTAATAACGATCAATAACATATGGAAAAAAAAATCAATGAATTTAAACTTCTCAAATCGATTCACTATTATTCAGCTTTGAAAGCTTTTTATTTTTTCCGGCTTTGAAAGTTAAGCAAAGGAATGGCGATTTTTGAATAAAATTTAAGTTTTGACGACGATGTACAAGCCTTTTTTAACACTCTAGACCAAATAGAGTAGGAAAATGTCCAACAGCATTGAGAAAATTGCATAGGTAGATTCTGACTCAAATAAAATTGATTAGGCATTTAGGCTTGTGCATGCAATACTTGATTCTCACGCATATAAAGTCAATTATTATCGTTGACAGAAAAAAGTCAATGATTTCTTAGATCCTATTGACCGACTCTGAGAACTAACATCTAAAAAGTAAATTAATTGGTCAAATTCTAAAAAGGAAACAAAGAAATTTTATTCGTTGTAAATTGATGTCTCATCAGAAAATATGTACAGACCAAATGCCTAAAACGACACCGAGAGACAAAATAAAATAAAAAAATAAAGCCAATATTGCTGAAGACATACTAGGATTTGCGGCGGCTTTGGCCTTTTGAGTATCATCAAATTATCTCTTGCTTGAATTCAACCAAATACAAACAAAGAAAACAAATTATTGTAAAAGATCTGTCGGATTATGGACTTTTATTTAAGCCACATGAGTAGGGACAGCTTTTCTCGATTTGTCATTATAATTTCGGATAAGATTAGCTATCAATTTGGTGATATGATTGATGTACATACAGTATTATACCATTTAATTTACTCCCTCCTTTATTTAACAAGTAATATTTTAAGTTTATAATTTTGTTTTTAAATAGAAAATGTTTTCAATGCAAAATTAATTATATTTTTATTAATTTTGACGATTTATATTCTGTAGATTATTTTTTTATTAGTTGATTAGATAATAAATGATATTTTAGTTTAAAAATAACCAAAAATTAAATAATTTCTTAAATAAAACATCACTTATAAAAGAACGGAGAGAGTAAGATATAAGGTCTATTCGAAAAAATTGTCTTAATTATGGCTTCATATCTTGGTAATTGGTACCATATTGACCATTTAATTAACATATAGTAATGTATGTTAAACATTAGCCAGTTGAACCTACAAAAAAGTATGATTAATCTATTTTCTTACAAGTATGAGTCTAAACTTTTTTCTCTTAAATATTGAAAAATAAAAGAAACAACTGTATAATTTAGCATCATCATTTGGGACCACCGAAATGCGATAAACACTTGAATAATTTTCTTGATTTTTAATTCGGACGATTTTGACATTATATCCTTGATGTCCATGAGTTCTAACTATCTTCTTGATCATTAAATAATCATTTTTAAATTTAGACACAAGCATTATTCTCTATGTAGGAGATTTAAGTACTTGTATTCAGTTTTTTTTAGTACTTACATTACTTGTAAACTACCGTATTTTGTTCTATGAAGTAAATACTCTAATCATCTTTGTTAACTACGTAATCATATTCACTTGATTATTTATGTGAAATTCTCATGTCATCCATAAGTAATTCAAACGGAGTATAGGATAATGTGTACATACAATTATTGATGAGGATCAAAATATAATTGTCTCTTTTACGGTTTGGCATAGGATACTAATATTTTTTACCTATTGGTAAAGTTAAATGTCCCTTTTAACCAATCACGAAACACTTTTCATGCAATAATGCGTTCCATTTTCTACGAATAGTAGTAAAACAATATGATACTACTAATTTTCCTTTGTGTATATTTTTAATACTAATACAGTGCACGATTGAGAGTGAGTCACCAACGAACCAACAGCGAACAAATTCCATTTATGCCACACCACCATAAATGGAACGATACACTGCCTAACACTATTTGCCACTTCCTTCTCATAACTCTTTGGTCGGTCTGTTCGAATTTACGTGGATACTTAATGACCGAACATGTGGCTAATTTGATGGGAGGATAATATTATGAAATTTGCTCGCATCATAAAACCATAAGGTCATAAATAAATTCTGTTTCTGCCAACAACTGTTGATCTATTTTGATTTTTTTTTCCTGAGTTCTGTTTTATTATTTTTAAATTTCATTGAATGATCTTGGGTTTTTTCCCAAAGGCTATTGTATTTTCTTTTAATTATAAAATAAATATATTGTAATTTTTTTTATAAAGAAATCGTTTTACATTTCAATATCTTCACTAGAAAATACTTGATAGTATTTAAGTGAAAACTATTGGAGTTAAATTTTGTGTATTAGCTATCAGAAATTAATGATATGACATTTGGAAATTGGAATTCAGATCACAAAAGAGTCTATCAAAGATCCGTTTTTTATATCAAACTAAGCGCAAATCATTTTAAATATCAAAAAAAAATATAAAATTAAAACCAACTTCTTATCACTTCATGTGGTTGCTCTCTAATCTAATATTGTATTAAAATGTGGTTGGTTTACTTGTTTCAATTTTATTAGATCCAAGTTATATACAACGTTCGATTTTTAAAAGTAATGTACGTATTTAGTAGATCACTGTCTAGTGTCTACCACATACATTATCACAACTATCTTTGAACCCGACAAAACCAGTGTGGACCGAAAATCCAAAGCCTTCGAAATATCCAAAAGATATCTATAAAAAGCATAATCGAGAACTAGAAAACTATCTACAATCGAAAGTTACAAAAAAGTATCTACACAAAATATCTAAACTAATTTGAGAACCGTATACAAATTTTTTTTTAAAACATATAAACCAATAAACCATGATCAGTCGATGACCATGCGAAGGGGAAGGGAAAGTCTGCTAATCCCGTTGACCATAGCCACATTGGTCAAGATTCACCAAAGGCATAATATTGTTTTAGGTCAACTTCACACAACACAATAAAATAAAACCAAGTGAGCTTCTCGAAGACTTCATATATCTCCAAGGTCAACACGTGGACCTCAAGCCACCTTCCACGTCATTACACATGTCAGGGCAATGAACAAGTCCGGTTTTTTGCTTCTCGAACAAGTGGTTCTGAATAACTAAGATAACTATTCTATCGTCAGCTTCTTTTCATGTTCCATTGCCCATCACGGCATCACGCGCTTTTACTTCACCCGAGTCCCGAGAGAATGCATTAGAAAAGTCTTGTTTTCTTCTTTTAGTTTTCTTGGTCAATTGGTGAGATTTTTCTGTAATAACTTTGACAGACGAAAATAATCTAATTTGTGTTAGTGTTTAATTCAATTTTGTGAGATTTGGAGGAAATATTTTTCAGCAGAAACCAAAATGTGCAGCCAATCATCATATGTAATTGTGTTTCTCTTTTTTTTTTTGCTTAACTTTAGTTCTTTTGTCTATATAATTCTTTTGGTCAAAGATTTTATATGCAAACTTTAAACTTTTTAGTTCGTAATATTTCTATAAAGGCACCGTTGCATTCTAATTTCAAAATAGCTTTCAATTAGTTTTGATGTTCTAGAATCTAAATTCATTCAAACGCAAAAAAAAATTAACTACTTATTTAGATATGTTTTATTAGATTGGATAAAATTTCATCAGTAATGTATTGTGGATTTATCTAGTTAACTTTGACCAAAAAAGAACGACGATATTTTGACAATTATTTTAAGTTTTTCATAATTTTATATTTTCATTATAAAGAAAATAATTTTTTAAAAAAATAGTAAAAGAAAAAAGAAAAGGAGAGGTGTTGAGAGATTGAGAAGCTAAAATATCCAACCAAATATATAAAAGAGAGCAAAGCTTCTCCTATTTTTATCAAACCTCAACAAATACTCTCTTATTTCAGATTCTTTCAGACAAAAACAGAGAGAAACTTTTTATGTTTATGTGTTTAAGATCTGATTATTAAAAAGATGCAAGTTGTTGCTCCTTCATCTCCGGCGTCGAAATTCGCCGGAAAAGAGAGATTTTCAGAAGTTTACGGCGAACTAAACGACGATTTTGGCTCAAAACTGAAGATTAGTTCTACAGAGGAAGAAAACAGAGATAAAGATGAAGAAGAAAGAGAAGAAGAGTTCTCATTCGCAAGTGTAAATGCAGAGAATTCACCGATAACCGCAGAAGAAGCGTTCGAAGGCGGTCAGATCCGACCGGTTTATCCTCTGTTTAACCGGAATATTTTCTTCGATGATCCAAAGGAGGAAACTTTACGTTCACCTCTCAAGAAACTCTTCGTAGAATCCACAACCACCGAAGAAGAAGAAGAAGAAGAAGAGTCAGAGACGGTGGGTCCGTACTGTTCATGGACAAATCGTACGGTGGAGGAAGCATCACCGGAGACTTGTCGGAAAAGTAACTCAACAGGGTTTTCAAAACTATGGAGATTTAGAGATCTTGTTTTGAGAAGTAACAGTGATGGAAAAGATGCGTTTGTGTTTTTAAGCAACGGCTCTTCGTCTTCGTCGTCTACATCGGCGAAATTGAGCGGTGTGAAGTCGTCGGAGAAAGGGAAAGAGACGACGAAGACGGAGAAGAAGAAGAAGATGAGAACAAAATCGGCACATGAGAAATTATATATGAGAAACAGAGCAATGAGAGAAGAAGGGAAACGAAGATCGTATCTACCGTATCAACATGTTGGATTCTTCACTAATGTTAATGGTTTAACCAGAAATGTTCATCCATTTTGATTAAACCGGTTTTGTTTCAAAATCTCTACCGACAAATCTTTGCCTTTGTATATAATAATCTAACTTTTTTTTTTAATACCGGTGTATTATATAACCTTTTTTGTAAGTAAAAGTGAAACTTTACTTATTTATTTCACGTTTTGTCTCATTTGATTAATTTTTTTTTTATGTAAAGTATTTTCTGATTTTGAAAGTAGACAAGATTCATCGATCGTTTTACATAATTGCATCATAGTAGGTCTTATTTGATAACAACATCGTGAGGCTCCAATGCTAGTTTTCATGGAATTATAAAGTTGGTCCATACTATATTTTGGTATATCAAAATTTGTTTACTAAAACTTGTCCATCAATACCTAGCAGCTAAAATTTTATTTATAATTTTTATTTGGGAAATTAGTTTTTTTTGTTAATAAGTTTTGAGTGACCAAAACATATTAGGAACAAATATAAAATAAAATCTATTTTTCGTATCACTCTGACAAAATGTTAGATCGAGAAGGAAGGCTGTATGTAATAATAATAAGTACTGTATTTTTTTTTTCTTAACAAGTATTCTATGTCGATCTAATTGATTAAAGATGGCCGCAGACAACATGAAAGAAACATGTTAGAGGTTAGAGATAGCTACAAATTATTTTTAGTCGCATTTATTTTTGATAGCTTAGTTTTACAAATTTCTGTTTACCGACACAAATGACTGTTAAATGTCGTCGGAAGTACAAACCACTATTGGTAGTGACAAGTGACAACACATCACACTATCACACCAAACTCAATATATTTAAGCTTCAAAGTGCTTATATTATGCTGCTAAGAAAGAAAGAAAAAAGTGCTTATATTTTATGTAAGAGGCTCATAGAAATGTTTGGGCCGAAAAACAAGCAACATGGGCCTGGGGTCCTGGTCCAGGCTGACTAACACCATTTAGAAATGTTGTGAAAATTTGCAATGTAGCTAGTTTGTCTTTGGTTTTGGTTACTTTAGATCTAATGGTCCATTAGATGGTGCAAGCCCTCCAAACGGCTGTTCATTAAATTAAAACATTGCCATAAAATTTTAAAATAATTTATAGAATTAAATTTTTTTAAATTTGAAAGTTATAATAAAAGTTAAAATAAAAGTTATAATATAGATTTTATTTTAACTTTTGTAACATAGATTTATATTTAAATTTAATATCGTGAGGCTCCAATGCTAGTTTTCATGGAATTATAAAGTTGGTCCATACTAAATAATGGTCTAATTTATAACATTAGATTTAAATTTAAAAGTTTTATTTCCATATATATGCTTATAAATATTCATATGTTATTTGATATAAATTAAAGAAATGTTTTTGTCTAATTTTTGTTTACGATTTAACTTTTTTGTTTTTTAATATATAGTTTTATATGATTTTTATTTATACTATCGTATTTAGAATTTTTATATTATAAACGCATACACTATTTAAACGGCCTAAAATCGCGTAGCTTCCGATTAAACGTTCTAGACGCTAGACGTTGGGTCACCGTCCGTTTAGCGCCGGCTTTTTTAAACATTGATTCTAAATAAATAGTAGAACAATTTATAATAAACTAGTATTAGTTCCGTGCTATGCACGGGAGTTCATTTTTGTTTCTATTAGAGCAAAAGTCAAATTTTCCTGGGAAACGAATTGAAAAATTGAAAAGAAAAAAAAGAAGAATTAGATAGTCTAAAATATTTATACTTCACAATAACCATAATTTCAATAATCTGTAAAAGTATAATTTCCTGCTATTTAATAAGAGCTCGTAAATCATCTTTTGCTTCTTCTTTTTTTGTATTTTTTTTCTTTTTCTTAATCTACTTGTCTTTCTTTTCCTCTATATTGCTCATTGAATCTTCTTCTGGTTTGTACCTCACAATGTTATACCTAAACTGCTAAACATGAGACACTAAAAAAACATATTTTACTTTTTCATATTGTAGAGTTGGAGCGGAGCAGAGCATCCTAGATAGTTTTGATATAAAACAATTAATTTCTCAATACTGCTTGATAGCTATTAGCTAGTAAACCCAAAAAAAAAAAAAGTGGCAGACATTTATATCTAGTATAATTAAGAGCAATGTACTCAATGTTAACACAAATGGATTTAACTGCATATCAAATTATAACGTGGCTTTAGATTACAAACAAAGCACACTTTTTTTTTGTTAAATAAACTTAACTTTGAGATCCATGCATAGGCCTGGGAATTTGACCCGATCGGTTTATTCGGGTTCGGTTTCTCGGTTTTTCGGTTAATTCGGAAATTGAAAGCTATTCCGAATCGAACCGACTAAGATTTCGGTTCGGTTCGGTTCGGAAACGGTTTTCTCGGTTACTGCAATTCGGATACTTCGGTTATTGTTTTAATGGAAAAAAAAAACAAAAATAACAGATTCGGCCCATGTTTTAAGTAAATAGTTGGGCCAAGCCCAGAAAATAATGTGCCAACAAAGTAATGAAACGTGTGTTTCATCACCCACCCCTTATTCAACCCTAATGTTCTTCGCCGCCGGCTCGACTATCGGGAAATCAAAGTCAAAGTAGTAAGTTTTCTCTTTAACCTCAGATCTTTTGATAAAGAGGAGGAAGAAGAAGCAAGAAGAAAAAGATCTCTGACGTACTTCAGGCGGATTTGAAGCTCTATGGGTTACATCCGACCTACTTCAAACGCCGGAATAATAGCTTTAGATCTCTGACGTCTCTTGATTCTTCTGTTGATGGTTTTGGGAAGTCTTTAATTGTTATTTTCTTTGCTTATCTTGCTCCAGTAAAAGTTGGAGAAGAAGAAAAAGAGAAGAGCTCGAAGAAAAAGAGGAGAAGAGAAGAGATACTATAGTTTGGTTAGGTTATAATTTTCTCGGTTAACCGTTCGGTTCTCCCAAACCGAACCGAAAATCTCGGTTAACCGAAACAATTTTAAAATCATACCGCTCGGTTATGATCAATTAACAATAACCGAACCGATTTGCCCAAACCTCGGTTCGGTTCGGTTCGGACAAATCGGTTCGGTTCAGATTCCCAGGCCTATCCATGCATATAATGTCATTATCTTAAGAATTATAACCAAGCAATAAAAATTTGATTAATGCAGCGTTCTAATTAAACATGCATGCTTCTATAACTTACCTGAGATCTATATATAAGTTAAATTATCCAACTGTTTTGACGGATGGTCTAAAGAAGTCACCTCCGTATATTTCACTGCTGCAATTTCAGCAACATGATAATGTGGTGTGTAACACTCTCCTGCCTGTAGATCATGAACATTTCATGACTTTTAGAATCAACTATCGTTTTACTAATGTTTTAATTTAGCCATCTATTACAAATAACTTGTGAAATGCGTATGTGTGTATTTGTATAAGATTTAAGTACATGCACACGAGAGTGCTTGTAAACTAATCAGTGTAACCAAACAAATATCAGATTTTTATTACCTTTTCATCCACAATAATAACTTCAATGCCGAGAGTTATTCCACGTTTATCTTTGACATGACTTCGCAACTTGGGGAAATTAGAGATCTTCTCCTATTCCTTTTTTGATAGATTCAGTTAGGAACTTGAGTATAATCCAATGACATCTTCATTTTGTTTCCAGCAAAGAGGATCACATATATTTTAGGTGAAAAAGTATAGAGCTGATGGAATTGAGATTAAGAGAAGTTCGTAAGCCTCTGTCGATGAATTAAATAAACTGATGCAAGGGATGCGATGGAGAGAAGTAAAGATTAATTACAGTTCCACTTGAGTTTTATGGTAGAGGAAGCCGGAAACGGTTTCAGAAATCGTGGTAGTTTTGGATGAGAAAAATTAGGGATTTTTAGAATGAGGATTTAGGCCTTTAATTACTTTTTTCCGTTTTTTTTTTTTTTTTTTTTTCTTTTAATATGTTTATTTATTTTCAATTTAGTTTTGTATATTTTAATGAATTGCCAAATGTCAACATTTGATTGCACAAGTGACTTGTGTTTTATATTATAAAGGATGTGAAAGCATATAAATAGAAGAAAATCTCATGGGATTATCTTCTAGCATTATTTTAGTGTTTTCTAATAAAATCAATTAGTATATAAATCTTATTATGATTTTTACTAAATAAGTAGCAGAAACAAATAAAAAGTAAAAAAAATACTCCCTCTGTTTTATATTATATGATGTTTTAGCCATTTTATTTTGTTTCACAATATAAGATGTTTTGGAAAAAAAATTCAAGTTTTTATGCAAAAAAATTAAATTTGTATAATTTTGTGACTATTTAGATTCTGCAGTAAATCATATCATTGGTCAAATTATCTTGAATATATAAAAACTAAAAGAATTAATTAGTTCATTAAACTTTGTGCTTTAAGGCAAAACATCCTATATTTTGAAACAGAGGGAGTAACATGGAAGAAGAAGAAGTCCTGCTTAACTCACCTTTCGCTTTCTCTATCCTATAACAGAACCCCCACATTGCTCGAACGGTCGTCATAATTCCTTGAAACCTCGAAAATCCAAAAACCCATATCCAATCTTCTTCCCAAATAAACATATGAATTAAGATTTTTTTGGGTTTTTATTTACTTATTTCAATTCCCAAAATCCTCTGCCTCATCATCTTCGAACTGTTCCCACGCCCATAGGGTTTTCGAGGAGCTAGAGAGAGCATTATCAAGAGCTTCTTTCTTCATCCCTAACATTTAGGTATTTCATTTCATAATTTATCTTCTTTTATTTAATTTAAGGGTTTTGTGCAAAAAAACCCTCGAAGTAGCCAATTTTTGCAAGAAAACCCTCCATCTCAAATAAATGCAAGTCAATACCGCCATCTCAAAAGTCACCCGCAATATAGCCCTCGCGTGTATCGATGACGTGGCAGCCGTTAACTCCGTCAGTGGGTTTGTGCAAAAAAACCCTCGAAGTAGCCAAATTGCAAAAAAACCCTTCATTAAACCAATTTTTGCAAAAAAAAACCTTTCGGGTATTTTAAAATTCGGGTACGGGTTCGGGTTTTACAGAATTCTTCTGTTAAACCCTAGATTTTTCCTTCTCGTATAAATGGCTCCACCATGTCTTACTTTGATCATGCCAATGATCATAAATTTAAGAAGATATCAAAATCGATTATTACCATATTGTTTCCTTTGCTTCCCTGTACAATCGAATTCTCCAACAGTCGCTTTTTCAAAACAAACCTTGGCTACTTTGAGGGTTTTTTTTGCACAAAATTTGGCTACTTTGAGGGTTTTCTTGCAAAAATTGGTTACTTCGAGGGTTTTTTTGCACAAAACCCTTAATTTAATTATTATCGACTAGTAAAACCCTTTTCTATATAAAACTGAATCCATTTTTTTCCGCACTAAAAAAAGAAAACACAAGAACTTCATTTCAAGTTCGTGTTTGAAAAACCAAGACCGACTATATGTATGATGTTTGTTGGAATTATGGTTTGTTGGCAATGGAGCCATTTGTTATCCCAAAATAGGTTAGAACTTAAATATAATAGAATACAACTTGAATTATTCATGGCAATGAGTATAGTCATATACAATAATGGTTTCTGGAAATGAACCTTCCGTCCAATGAAAAGCCAGCTTGCGTTTCTTGAGCATTTTAAGCCAAAAAAGAGTTTGAAAATATGTATTACATATTTTATATGTGGAACTAAAGAGTCAGAGAACCATTCCGGATTTAGATCATCCATCTATTTTAATCTTTTGTGATTCAGCCATCGCATTATTAGTCTTCCAAATATAATAAAATTAAAAATCTGTTATGAATTAAAAAAATTGAATGCCGACGTGAGTAGTTAATAATGTAGTCGATTGTAAGTTACAATGAGAAAATTTCTATAGTTTTATCTTTAAATGTATTTTTAAAAACAAGATTACGGGTTTGGACTGGACATGTCGCTAGGAGAAGCAGAGGAAGCGATCATTTATAATGGCTCCTGCATTCGGCAAATGTTTCATGTTCTGCTGCGCTAAGACCTCCCCGGTAAGTCCGATCAATACATATTTCAACTCAAAATACTAATTATTTTTGTGATTATGAGAAAAATACTACTTATTTTGCACCCAATGATATAAAGTGACGAAATGGATATAGAAAAAGTAATAATTTAGTAAAATGGTGACGCGTAATTGCCAACTGGCGAGTCCGTTAAAAAACCTATGACCGTGTCAGCTTGCAAGGCTTGCCTTGGTTGACTTATCCTGTTACGCCTATTGGCCACCGGCCCATCGGAAAAGACGCAGACCAAATTTGCTTTCACAAAAAAAAAAAAAACTTATTACCATATGTTTTTTTTTTGTCTTGCGTTTACATCGTTTTTATGGTCAAATGAGGTTGGGAACAAAAACTGTTATAGTCAAATAAGGTAGAAACTGGAATGAAATTTGCTTTTATTAATTTATTATCAGTACCACAGAGAATACAAATTTATACGTAAATGATAAAATGAATAAGAATAGAGAATCATAAATTCCGCATATGTTTCATTCTTTAATTCTCATATCAAACCACAGAGACATAAGCACATGCTTTATTCATCCTCAATCAAAACATTTCACCCCCAAAATTTTATAATAGTTTTATCAATCACTATCCCACAAAAAATATATATATATTTTAAAATATAATCTTTCCCATTTTTGTGGAGTTTTTTTTTCTTTCCCCTTCAAAAAAATGTAAGAGTTGAGAACCAAATGGCATAATAGAGATCTAGGCCTATAAATACCAATATCCATCTCTCTACTTCTGCATTAACTGATTTCACATTCTTCGATAAGGATTTTTTACTCTCCAGCCAAAAAAAAAAAAAAACCTCCTCTGCTTTTGTGATCCTTTAAGGTTTCTCTCATCAGATCCAATTCCATGTTTCAGCATCTTCAAATTTCACCGATTAATATTTTTTTTTTCTTTATTAGGAAGAAGACGAAATGGCAACGGAATCGTACGAAGCCGCCATTAAAGGACTCAATGATCTTCTCAGGTACACACTCTCTCTCTCTCTGACCCCAAATGTGTCGGCATATTCGTCAGTTTTTTTTTTTTTTTGTTTCCCACAATTTCGCGATTAATTTCACCAAAATCAACGCCAAAATCAAAGCAAAAGAATTAGCGTTGAATCGGAAAAAAATCAGAGTTTTTTTTTCTTCATGACCAAACATTTTGGAATCCGTACACGTACGATAGATCCTGACCGTTGGATCAACTTACCTTGGGGAAAAAGCTTTTCACATTTCCGCGTTTTTTCCTTTGTTTGTTTGTTTGATTCTTGGTTTTTGCAGTACGAAAGCCGATCTCGGAAACGTCGCCGCCGCGAAGATCAAAGCGTTGACGGCGGAGCTAAAGGAGCTTGACTCCGACAATTCAGACGCTATTGAACGAATCAAGACCGGTTTTACTCAATTCAAAACTGAGAAATATTTGTGAGTATAAATTAAAATTATTAATTTTTTTTATCAACAAATTAAAATTATTAAATTACTTAACTTTTTATCGTTATTTAAGGAAAGGAATATAATTAAATTCGTTTTTGTTCTGTAAAGAATTTTTCATGACGGTGGAATGGTCCATATTTTTTTTTGTATTTGAATAAAGTAATCATTAATGATATATCTACCTTTATTTTTCATATTCTATTAGACTATTAGTATATATTACGGTTTTTTTCATGGGATAGTGCTAAAAAAGGTGATTAAAAGCTAATTAAATTAGTTGGATCGTGCTTAGATTAAAAAGGGATTAAATGGGATATTCCAATTAGTCTATATGCAGTAACAGAAACATTAAAGAAATTCTGAATTTTTAAGGTTGATCATGAATTTTGATGAAATCTCTCTGTTCATATTTTTTTTTTCCAGGAAAAATAGTGCTTTGTTCAATGATCTTGCCAAGGGTCAGAGCCCAAAGGTTTTAACTTTCTCTCTGTTCATTTACTATTTTATTTGTTTGACTAATACCTAGTAAGAAATTAGGTTAATACGAACAAAAGAGTGTGAAAGCTTTAATAATCCAACGATGATGTTTGACTTTATGAATAAGCAAAAACAATTATTGAAACGAGAGATGGTCCACTTTCTTATTATAGAGGTAATGAATTTGAAAATGATTTTATGATTATGGCAGTTTCTGGTGTTTGCTTGTTCTGATTCTAGAGTTTGTCCATCTCACATCTTGAATTTCCAACCTGGTGATGCTTTTGTGGTCAGAAACATTGCCAATATGGTTCCACCTTTTGACCAGGTTTATTACCAAACCATTACAATTCACAAGAGTTGTTGTTGTCTGAGATCAAATAACTAACACAAAAGTTGGCTTTGATAATCTTTTCAGAAGAGACACTCTGGAGTTGGAGCCGCCGTCGAATACGCAGTTGTACATCTCAAGGTACATGGAAAAACTATCCCTATTTTTAAGGATAAGCAAACTTTGTTTCTTTTCTAATCAGTAATCATCCAAAGTTTGGCTCTTTTGGTAGTGTGCTTATTATATTATAAGTCGTTGTTAAGCATTTTTGCTTGCACATGGTTCTTACTAAAAGTTGATGTCTAGTCATTGTGTTATTTGGACCCATTTCATCCACCAAACCCCTGTTCTCCTTTTCCCTTTAGCCACCACTAGGATTATCTTTTTTTGAAATTGGATAATGTTCGATATTAGAAATGGGTACTAATGCATCAACTTGCAACTACTTTTTATTCAGAGTCAACAGTTTTTTTTTTTTAATAGTGTCAATTTATTTGTAGGTGGAGAACATTTTGGTGATAGGCCATAGCTGTTGTGGTGGCATTAAGGGACTCATGAACATTGAAGATGATGCTGCCCCAACTCAGAGGTAATCAAAAACCTAATTAACCTTGATTTGGCCTGAGTTATGAATCAAGATTGTTCGATATATCACTTTCTTGTGGGATAGTTTGACTCTTTGAGATGATAAGATTATTCGATCTCTAACACGATGAAATCCTCTTTAAAATGGCAGTGACTTCATAGAAAACTGGGTGAAGATAGGCGCATCAGCGAGGAACAAGATCAAGGAGGAACATAAAGACCTGAGCTACGATGAGCAATGCAACAAATGTGAGAAGGTAATAATAACAATCTTTGCTCTGTTTACTTATGTTCTTGAGAAGAGAAAGAGAAATGGCTTATTGACAAATATGTTTTATCTTGTGCAGGAAGCTGTGAATGTGTCGCTTGGAAACTTGCTTTCGTACCCATTCGTGAGAGCTGCGGTAGTGAAGAACACACTTGCGATAAGAGGAGGTCACTACAATTTCGTCAAAGGAACATTTGATCTCTGGGAGCTCGATTTCAAGACCACTCCTGCTTTTGCCTTCTCTTAAAAAAAAGAAAGGGAATATATAACTCTTTTGAGATACAAAGACACTTTGACTCATCTTTCTCTCATGTTGATGATTACTCTCCAACTTCTTTGGTTTCTTTTTTCTTTTGTTAATTCAAAACTTCAACTTTGCTGCTTCTATTTCGAAAGCTCAAACAATAAAAGCTGTAACCAACGTTTGAAACTTCTATATTTGTCTAATTGATGTTTGAACGAAGATATGAACTTTCCTTCTTTTTTCTGTTTTTCCAGATTATATGTGTATGTTAATTGTTAAAACTTCTTGGCATTGAAGCCATCTACATATACATTTTTATAGTACATTTTTGCTTTAATTCTTTTGGATCCGGGTTTGACCCGGTTTTAGTCTATTCGGATATTGGATAAGCAATTTTAGGGATGTTGTCTTAATTTCAAACTGATAAATAAAGTCATGTTGTCTTTAATTCATTTACATATTCTTATACTATTTCCATATTAATCATCTCCGGATACTTAGCATTTACCATTCGCAGAATTCAGTTTGTTATTATTACCTAAACTAATTGCCACATTAATCGTAACTTAATAACTTTATTCTCTAATTGATTTCGAATATATTCACAATCTAAACTAATTAATATCACATATCTTATCTCATCTATTGTTCCTTTAAATTCTACTATATAATCTTTTAAACAATTCAAAGAAAGAGTGGTTGGATTAAAATCCAAACTAAAAACAAAACAAAATCACAAAAATCATTTTAAATCTTTTCATATTAACTTTACATAAAACACTAACATTTCTTTTTAACAGATCAATTAGCAATAATCACGTTGATCTTAATCCATTAATTATTTGCCTAAACAACTAACTGAATTTTATACAACTGTTATAGAAATTTTAGGAAAAATTAATCACTTACTATAAATACATTTTAAAAACGTTTAATGCTCAAATCTTTAGTTAAGATTTTGGAAAGAATAATAATTTGAAAATCAATTTCTACTCAGTTTAGCAAATAATTAATTTTTATTCATTGACATAAATATAGATTACTTAAAATAGATCGTAACAATATTTAATTTGATTTGTTTATTTAATTTCACCCATATAATTCTTAATTTAATTTGTTTATTTTTTCTTGCACGAAAGTAGAAGTTTATAGCAATCCTCTTTTGATTTGATCTCATTTTTTAAGCGTGAAAGTATTATTGGAGAAAGAGTAATGTGGTGTACTACTTAAGCAAGGATCAACAATAGGAATGTTTTAAAAACAAAATATATATGTAATTTGATCACATTTATATAATAATTTTATGAATTTACTTAGAAAAAGTTTAACTTTATTAAACGTTTTAAATATGTATAATATTAAAACTTTTATGAAGTTTCAAATATTATAAATATTTGAATTTTTAGAAGAATTTATAAAAAGTTTAAATATTATAAATATTTATAAAAGATATTAATACAGGACAGTATACTACGGGTGAAATCCTAAATATAACAATCAAAATACAATTATGAAGTTTGGGTCGATATTAAAACTTTTATGAAGTTTCAACTATTATAAATATTTGAACTTTATACGAATTTATAAGAAGTTTAAATATTATAAATATTTATAAAAAATATTAATACGAGACGGTATACTACGGGTGAAATCCTAAATATAACAATCAAAATATAATTATGAAGTTTGGGTTGATATTAAACTTTTATGAAGTTTCAAGTATTATAAATATTTGAACTTTATAATAAAATGACAAAATGACGTTTAATTTCACGGGACAGAGTTATATGGTGAGACGGGTTTTGGTCGATATTAATATGAGATGATATACTACGGGTAAAATCCTAGAATTAACAATCTAAATACAATTATACAATCTTAAACACTAAACAAAACAAGACAAACAATATTAATAAAATAAATACAATTTAAAATTTCTAATTATTAGTTATAAAATATTGTCCCAAGGTGTACTATACAGTAGCATATATTTATAAATCATCTTAAAAAAAATATTCAATTTTTTTATTTAATAAAAATATAGATCCGCGGTGTACCGCGGGTTAACATCTAGTTGATCATTACAATTTTATCACATAAATACTTCTAGAAGGTATTATTCTCCGGTCTGAGAGTGACGATTCGTTTTTTTTGTTGCAAAAAAATTATAAACTTTTTGCTTTTTAAAATTAGTTGATTTAGAATTTTAGTTATCAAAATAAAATAAAAGTAGAAGACTTAATTGTAGAACTGAAGAAAGAAACTCAAAAGAGTAACGATTGTAAATAGAATATTTCTTGACGGAAAAAAAAAAAAAAAAATTTCTACAAAAACAGTAGTAATTTGCTGAATCCCATTGACCAAGTAAATACCAAAAAGGCCCACCTAAGTTGGCCCAATTGTATTTGCCGACTTAGACCATCTCCAAAAATATTCTTTGAGTTTCTCAAACAAAAAAAATATTAGTATTTTAATAAATTTCAGCTATATAATTATTTTTTAATTATAAATATAAAATTGAAACAATAAATGAAAAGCAAGTGGTTTAGTGGGTTTCTCAAGTTTCTCAAATGAGACATTCTGAGACCTTCTCTCCTTTCTCTTTTTTACTTTTTAACTTTTTTATATTTTTTTTAAGAGAGAGTTTCTCAATGAGACACCATTGATGGAGATGCTCTTAGTGATTCTTCTATAAACTAGGGATTTATCAAATTTGAGTGATTTCTCTTTTCTTTTAATCTGCAGGATTGCGTCCCAAGTAGGAGAGATATGGTAAGCGTTTCATTAACCACAAATCTGTGGTAATGAGTTTCAAAGTGAGTTCTGAAGATTTTAGTGTCATTGAGTTGCCTAACGAAGTCAACTTTGATTATAATTACTGGAATTTGGTGAATTACAAAAGGGATATTGCCTTAGTGGATGAGGGCAACTTTGACATTGACTCGAATGGCAATGGAGTTTTTAAAATTTTGGTTAGGAAGGAAGTTGCTGGAAATTGGGAGAGAAAGCGCATTGAGATTCCTCGTTGGAAAGAAACGGTTGATAACGAGGATTATTATTTTAAAGGTACCATTGGAACAGGAGAACTTCTTGTTTTCGCACCAACTCGTGGTACTCGGTTCGGGAGAAGAGTGTTGTATTACGATGAAGCCACAGGGAACCTCAGAAGATTTGATATTGAAGAAGGAATGATTGATGAAGATCATTTTGTTCGAACCTTCTTCGATCATGTTGATAGTACTTGGCTTATGTGAAGAATATGACTTGGTCCAAGGTTATCAGAAACTCTCGTTGGTTGTTCAGTCTCTCAAGTCTTATTGGGATTGCTAGTTTTCATTTCTATTGTCGTTAATCGTCATTTATGCTAAATAATAATATCGTCTCTCAATTATATTACTATCTTACTGGGATTGTTCGTTGTCATTTTTGTTGTTGTTAATCTTTATATTTAATTATTTATGCTAAATATAACAAAACTGAAGCTTCCTAATACTACCCACACTTTACTCAAGCTAGATCATATTGTTTTCAACTACACAAAGAAAGTGCATTTGACTCGTGAAACAAAACGTTTACTAAAAGAAATATATATAAGATTTCCCGATTGCTTGCAAAAGAGAAACAAAAAATAAGGAACCTCTCAAGTGTTCATCAACTAGTCTACTTGTATTTAAGAACTTCGATTAATTCCCGATTGGCTGTAAGAACTATAATTCTATCTTCTAATTAAATACCAAGAGTAGCAGCCATACACCGACCAAATACTCACTACCTCAGCCTCAATAACAAACCGGCGGTCATAAGAGTTTCTTTTCTAGACAAGGTTTTGGACCTAAGATGGTCGGTAACAGAAAACAGATTCGGCTAAAGATTTGGATTTGCAATTGCTAGTTGCTACTGCTTTCTGTTACGATCAATCTTTATTCTTTGCTTTTGTTTATTGTTCTTTTACTGTTTAGCTGAACTTTATAACCAATAATAACACTCTGTATAATATAATAACATTACATCATATATTAAATTTTAAAACCTAACATGAACCATATAATCCTATTCCTCAGCGAGTAACTGGATTTAAAAAAAAACAAAAAAAAGTTGGCAAATAAGTTTTAATGCGTATACGTGAAACCTCCCTGTCAACAAAATTATGTTCAAAGAATCAAAGTGAAAACCATTTCAAAAAGTTTTAGGATCATGGATTTAGAGAAAGTTGCTTAAGTACAGAGCAGTGGCGCAAACATTTTGTAAAGTGGATATCCGAAATGGAGAAGCCACATCCTTTTGGTATGACAACTGGTCGGAGCTAGGCAAAATAAAGGATATAACTGGGGACAGAGGAGTGATCGATCTGGGAATTAACCGCAGTCTCTCTGTTGCTGAAGCGTGGTCCACCCGCCGAAGAAGAAGACATCGCACAGCAGCTCTAAACCAAATAGAAGACACTCTTCAGGCAGCAAAAGAGAATCGCACAAGGGATCCAGACATTGTGCTATGGCAAGGCAAAAATGACATATTCAAAAACAGTTTCTCCACCAAAGACGCATGGAACAGAATAAGAACCACCGCAAATGAGGTCGCATGGCACAAGGGAGTTTGGTTCCCTCATGCGACTCCGAAATACTCGTGTTGTGTCTGGCTTGCATCTTTAAACAGGTTAACAACTGGAGACAGGATGGAAAAATGGAACACAGATTCACCAGCGGGTTGTGTGCTCTGCAACAATGTTTTAGAAACCCGGGACCATCTCTTCTTTCAATGCGAATACGGTTCAGAGATTTGGGCTGCTTTAGCAAAGAATATTTTCAAAACAAGGTACTCAACAGCTTGGCACTCTATCATCGATTATATCTCCAATATGCAGCAAAACAGAACAGAGAGCTTCTTGGCTCGTTACATCTTTCAAGCATCAGTATACGCAATCTGGCGTGAGCGGAATGGTAGACGACATGGGGAAGCTCATAACTCAGCAGGTCAACTAATCGGCTGGATCGACAAGCATACTCGGAACACACTCTCTTCCATCAAACAGTTGGGTGATGGTAGATACGACAAAGGATTGCAAAGGTGGTTTGAATCAAGACTTTAAATTCTTTTGAGTTTCAGATTTCAATTATGATTTGATTTAAGATGAACGTTACACGAGTTGTAAAATCGATATTTTTCTTTGAATATAATTTAACATTACATTCAAAAAAAAAAAAAAAAAAAAACCATTTAAAAAAGTTAAAACGTGTTTCTCTATTTGAATTGATTTTGTGGATTGACGATGAGAGAAAGCCTTTTAAGTCACGTTTGGCACCAAATCTCACTCTGAGAGCATCAGCAGTGCGGCACTCAAGAAGATAGATGTGAGGCAAATTAAATTAGTAAAATAAAGTTAGAGAGGAGAGAGGAGAGATGAGGAACAGAGGAGGAACACAGAGGAAAGATGAAAATTTGTTTTCATCGAAGGAACAGAGAGGAGAGATGAAAACAATTTTTTAATATAAAAAAAATCAGAACCAACCAAACAAAGACACCTGCCCCTCACACTCGGTTGTAAACTAACACTCGCATACGCATTCCAAGTGCACTGTTCTCTTACTTTTGAATATTTTAATACTCACACCCATACATAAAGTTTACTATTGTGTATGCTCTGATAGTTTACTCATAATAATTATTAAGTTTTGACGTGTGACATCTTTTTTTCTTCTAATTGTGTGCAAAAAGAAAAAAAAAATGGAAATATTTCATTAAAAATGGAAGCATAAGACATATCTAGAATTCAGTCCATCTATTCAACCAAAACCGTGAAGCTAAAGGGATTAGATAAAGCGATGACGATTTTGATTGTTCTTCCCGAATTTGTTGTTAGAGATGAAGGGCAACTGCAAATAGTAGAAGCCGAATTGCGAAAAACTGTTATCACTAGAAGCCTTTCACTGGAAGTCCGAGATTGAGCCGTCAACGGCAGATAACTCAAAGTCCTTGATCCCATACGTCACCCCGCGTCATGAGAGAGCAACCTGAAAATCACATCCATGAGCTTTCTCAAAACGGAACTTCACGAACCAAACAATACGAACAATGCGAGCTCCCTCTACCAAGTTCATTCCCGAAGTCGGCTAGCACAGAGCAAGATTATACAAACCAAAACCACATCGAACGCCAATAGCCTTACTAGCTCCTCTAGGACACAGAACGAAACACAACGAGTGGCAAAACCAATGCAATGCTTACTCCAACTCAAAGCAACGTCAACAACAAGATACAATCAAAACCAAGGCTTGAAGCAAAAACAACTAGACAAGAATACATGTGGCACTAACAAATTGGAGAAAGCAAATTAGCCGCCACCGAAGGCTAAACCTTCACCAAAGCCAGCACCACCGCAGCTACCCAAAGGCATTAATTGAGCTAAAGAGATGAAGCTTCATACTTGACTTGCCACAACGACCACTCTCCTAATACTTTTGCTGCTGTCCTCTAGCAAAATTGACCAACAGAGAAGTGCTCATTCAAACGCCAAGCCTAATCGTCGAGAGAAAGAGCCCAAAGAGAACCGGGAGGAAACTAAGCCCTGAACTTCTATAAGAAGGAGAGTAACAAGAGCTGTCGAGGATCAGCGGCTAAAACGGTGAAGAGACCACAGCCGCAGGACCAAGCAGCTTCAGCATAGCCACCGAGAACTGCTCCAAACGCCACAAACTCCAACAGATGTATCGACCAACATGGAGGGGACAACGGCGGTTTTCTTCAAAGACTCAGCCGTCCTCGAGCGAAAAGTCAAATCGGAAAACAACCAAAACCACCAGAAAAGCAGGTCGAGACAAGGCGGATATTCCAGGCAAAAGCTTGGAAGCTGCGTAACCTGAGAAGACGGAGAAGCGAGGCCAAGCGACTGCCGAGCTTAGACCGCCGTAGGAGACGCGAGGGAGGAGGAGATCTAAAAGGAGATCCTCGCTGGACTCCGCCTGATCTCACGCCGTCGACAAGCGACGAGATCTGGACAGAGAAGCAGCGACAACACCATGGAGTGGCCGTCGCACACGGCGGAACTCCTCACCACTCGCCGGAAATTCAGAGCAAAACCTTGAAAATCAGAATTGCCCAAGCGACGAAACTGACGGAAAGCTACAAAGGGGGAGGCCGAAGCCGGTGCTGAAGAGCCACCGCACTCCAGCCTCAAAACGGAAAAATCGACGGCGGCTCGAGAAAAGAAAGTTTGGGAGAAAAAAGGGTTACGCGCGTGTGGTGCACGCGCCCGTGTCTCGACGTTAAAAAAAAAAGCGGCAACTAAACGGATAGGTGGGTGGCTGTTTGAATTATGCGGTTGGCCGTATTGCTTACTATTGCGATCAGTCATTAATTTCATCTTTCGTTTATTTTTCTGTTACTGTTAGGCTGAAATTTTGTAACTCTGCAAGTACGTAAAATAGTAGTAATTAACAATCTGAATAGTATCTATATATAATAGCAAACCCACTGTTTTGGGTCTGCTGACGTCATCAACATATTAAAAAAAAGGAAAAAAACCAATGATCCAGATTAAATGTATTTGATCAAACGGTTGAGATTCATGTTCTTTTTCTTTTTCAATGTTTGTCTTCTTTCATCTCACTTCTTCGCAGCCAAGGTTTGCAATTGTTACATCTCATATATACCTCTGCGTTCTAATATATATGTTACATCTCACACCTCCTCGTTCTAATATATAAATTTCTTCTAATAACTCACTATTTATTCTTTGAAAAAGTCTTTGTTTTCGCTCCAATTTTTGTTCCTCTATCGAGATATCGTATTCTGCATCATTAATCATCGTTGATTCAAAAATTGAGAGGATCTCCTATGAACAATCATACGTTCACCCGTCTTCTATTTGATCTCTTCGCCGGCCATCGTAGTAGTGATTTTCCTTTGATTCCGCTGAGACGCCACACCCTATTCGATTTCATGAATGATTTCACTGACAACTAAAAGCTAAGAGAGGAGAACGATTTTAGGTTTTTATTATAAGAGGTGGTGAGTATCATAGTCAAATTAATGAGTTTTTTTATGTTTAGTTAGAGACCAAACGCCATTAGAGAAGTTGTAATTGGTTGACAAAAAAAAAAGAAAAAAAAAAAGAGAAGTTGCAATTAATTAGGGTTGTGGTTTTTCCTCGAAAATTTAATAAAACAAAAAATATGTCCTTTCAATTGCATTTTTTTTCACGTCTAATTGGAGCGAAACAATGATGAAACTGTGAAACAATCACTACAAAAAATATGAGCATTGATAGTACATTACGATAGCGCATTTTTCGCATCTGCTATTAAAGATGGTACTCGAATTTTAGTAACTATATTATAGCATTTCAGAAACGCTAAGCCCTATAATAACAGAGCCGAAACTAAAATCACTTATGACCGCTAAATATTTATCGAAAATTTGCCCAGAGCACCAACACTTAGCCAAAAAAATAAGAAAACGCTCAAATTAAAAACCAAACCCTAATTTCTATATATTTTCTCTATCCTCTTTCTCTCCTTTACCTCTCCGCTATCTTCCTCGATTCTTCCTTTCTTCCTAGATTATTCACTTCTCCTCAGCTCTCCTTTACCTCGTCACTCTCTCCATATGATTATACACCCCTGGATCTATTGGATTCTATCAATTTCATCCCCAAATTCCTCTTCTTCTTAAATTCTATAAATGAATCATTTTCCATCTTCGTCGCTTGCCTCAGATACCCTAAACCATAGCTTTCGATTTCGTTGGCTTGAAGCCCCAAACCATCTTCGACGCTCGGTTCTTCAATTGCGTCAGCCTCCTCCCTCTTTATCCTTCTCTTTTGCATCCGCAGGTACGATTTTGTTAGGGTTCAATAGATTTATGAGCACTTGGGTTAGATTTTGTTAGGGTTCAGTTGATCGATTTGGGTTAGATTAAAATCTTATAAGCTTTTGGCCGAAAAACTGATGATGCTTTTTATGCCCTCCAGGTGTTCGACGAATTGCCTCATTATTGGCTTGCTTGTTACTTAACATTGTTTGGTGTTCTGTAAGCTTATTCCTATTAGATTTACATATCTCATTTGATATTAGTATTACTAGAACAGTTTTGTGAATAAAAATCTCATTGTTGTGAATAAAAATTAGAGTTTTGAACTGTTTTGTGTTGATTTTGGTTTGTGGTGTTGCTGTTGAAACTTGCAGGTCCTTAAGATTCTACCTTCCAAGTCATTAACACGTATAAGAGTAGAGAAGAGGTATAGTTTATCTTTGGTGGGTGCTTAAGATTCGAATCAGTTGGTCTCCAGGTACGATTATGAACTCATATTCTCTTTAAATTAATAGTATCACTGAAACAGTGAAATGGTTGTCGATGATCAAGTTTGTTGTCAGTTAGCTAACGGGTCTAACGGGTTCTCTTTTCTTTTGGATATTTTTGTTGGAGTGTGGCTTGTGTGTTTGGAATGGGCGTTGGTTTTACTTATTCGTTTTGCTTCTTGCATACTAATTAGTACTCACATGGAAGTATTCGTGATGAAAGTAAGATAAATCACCTAGGTGTAAGTGAATTTTAGGGCACAGAAACATGCTACTTTACTTCATCTATTTTCTTTGTAAAAACATCCATTGTATCAAAACAAGTAATTTAACTTGTTTGTTGACTACTGAAATATTTTTGCAGCTTAAAACACATGAAGATGCGATAACTAACATCAAAAATGAGCTTGCAGTTGTGGAGCTTAAAGTTCAGGTCTTTATTTCTTATCTAGCTTCAGATTTGTGTATGCACAATCATGTTACCATCTTGCAATGAACATCAAATCATATGTTCTTGTCTGAGATTACGTGGAGCATGTGATCAGAGAAACTGGAGCAGATCTGGTATCAATCATAGTGTTAGTATACTTGGGGACTAGCTTCTTCTTAAGTTTTATATACATATCTAGAGACGTGCATTTTGGAATGCAGGTGCTTAACTAGCTGAATTGTTTTGCTTTCTTGGACAGACTATTGAAAAGCCATCTCTAATTTACTTTAGTATTGTTTTTTTGAACTGAATAGGTTGGTGGATGCCAATACATAATGTTTCCAGGGAGATATATTTACACTAAAAGACTGAAAGATGCAAAGAGACTGAAGTCAAGCTTACGATGGGTATGGCCATGGGAGGAATGAAGGTAAACTGATGTACGAAGTGCAAGTTGCTATCTTAGCTTAAGAAGTTTGTCTAATGTTAGTTTATTTTGTGTAAGACTTGGTGTCACTTACGATGTTAGTATAAGACTTGGTATGATGTTATGTAAAACTTGTTTTGGTTAATTTGATATTAATGTTATGTATTTTGATGATTTATGTAATATATAAATAGTATATAAATCCAATTTAAAAAATTATGCAAAATAGGATTCAATTATAAATTTATATAAATCAAATTAATATATTCGTATAGCGAAACAAAAATGCTACAACATAATATAAAACAGCACAAAACATGTGTTACAAGAAAGTATATTAAAGCATTTGGTTAATGTTATAATAAAACGACTTACAATAGCATACTAAAAAAATGTTATCGTATGTGGGACACCTACTATAACAGGGGCATAAAATAGCATTTATGAAAACGCTATAAATGACATATTATAGCACTTCTGTCGTGTTAAAAATGTGCATTTTTCTTGTAGTGAATTCATGAAACAATGGCTCCAATTCATGAAAGTTTTTGTCCTTTCAATACCTAATGAAACTGTGAAACAATGATTGATTTTGTAACCTCTTCTAAATTCTTTCATGAATCTCTTGCGATGTTTCATACAAAAATTGTTAGCTAAATTTGGAGAACTTTTTTGAATCCTTTTCCAATGATGAAACTGTAGGCCCACTAATCCAAGTACCAAGCACCTTCGCTGACGGTTTTGTGTTCACTAAGCCAGCAATCCACATGCTCGCCTCTAGTGGAAGAAGAACGAGAAGGCAAGAGCTTAAGCTTCATCGCAAGAGATTCTTTCATGAATCTCTTGCGATGTTTCAATCAATTTCACTTTGGTAAGTTCTAATGTATTGGCCTCTTTACGTTTGTAGTTCACATAGTGTTGACTTTCTAAGTTTAGTTTTAATATAAAGCTGATGAGATTAACAAAATCTATCAGAATTGAAAAACGGCCGAAAATATACTCAAGCATTGTATTCTTCAAAATGAAAAATGGGGATTCACTTTAGAAATGACGAATGGAGATTTTTAATATAATGACATATGAATTTTAATCGTATAGTTGAAAGTGTACAATTCCGCATGAATCAATTATTTATCTCCATTCAAAACGGTTGTCCACCTTTCTCATCGTTTTTTGAGTATTATTTCTGTCACTCGAACTCGGCAACCCCAGATTCATGTCTTCATGTATGACTATTGTTAAAGTTGTTCTTTTTAGTTGTCAATTATTCATTGATTCAATTTTTGAAGTGGCATCATAATTAAGATTTCTATTTGTGGGAAGTAGTGTGACAAATATTCAAATTTGTCATTCTTTGGGCGTCTGTGATTTGGTTGATTCTATAGATCATTTATGTCTCATAAGTTTCTGAATCTGGTTCAGCTGGAAACTCTTATCATAGTATATGGGGTAACTTTAATGGTTTTCTTAATTATTATGCAAAATTCTTAAACTATATCTAAATTGAAACAGAAGGAGTATACTTTAAAAATATAAATAAATCTAAACATATATTTTAGAACATTCTTTTGAAATTATATATAATATTGTTAATAACTTAATAGTTCTGATTTAACCAACTGAAGGTAGAAACAACATCAGAGCATCAAACTTGAAGGACAAATCATTGTTGGCGAATACGAAACCGTTCTTTGTCTAAAAAAAGAAACTTGATCTCGATGATTTCCAATACATGGAAAATAGGCAGCAGCTAGACCAAGCATCCAAAACTTTTCATGTAACTGGTTGGTTTTTATAAATCCAATAGAATATATTTTCTCCCATTTCTCGGTAGGATATTCTTGTTGTAAACTCCAAACCACCAAATTTGAACATTCTAGCACATCCGATAGGCACAATCGGTCATTCAGATTCCACATTTCTATACTAGAATCATATCTAATGTAACACTTAGGTAATATTATCCATCGAAATTCTTCAGTGTGAAGATCGATAGCTAGTAGCTTTAAAGCTGTTTTCCTAGAGTTACATAATGTCAACCAAAAGACTGATCCGTTTGCGTAGACTGATGTTTGCTCTTCGCAGAATATAAACATGCTCATTCTATAAAAACATACGTCTCTTTGCTCACCATTATCAAGGGATAGGACCTTCACCTTGAAACAAGGATCATGATTTCCTTTTCTTGTATACATCAAAACCACCTTATATGATTTTGTAACAATATCTTTGCCAAATCCAGCAAGAAACGGCATTATCTTCACTAATTCAGCTTCATATATATATTAGAGAAAGATGATAATATTATATTTGATAAATAAGTATATAATATATTTATTACTGTGACTGTTAAAATCCAACTCGATAATCAACCATAGAAGATAGAACAAGAAAGCTAACGTACCATCTGGTGGATAATGCAAGACTCCTTGAGTAACTTGTCTCCATGGTCTATCGACCATTGCGGTAGATTTGAATCTAAAAGTTAATGGCCATTGCGTAAATTCGGGATGAAACGTCAAGCGTTCTTCAGTCGTCGGATTGATCAAGTAAATGTACCTAAAATCGTCGTAGATCCTAATCAAGACCAATCCATCACAAGACCCCACAACTTGAATAGTTTTGTTTTGAGATTTGTCGACTGGATCATCAGGAAAAGTATAGTGACTAGAAGAGGAAGGACTGTTTTTTCTGTTGTTGTTGTGATCATCTCTAGAAAAAGTCTCCAAAAGCAAAGTTGTTGAGTTTGAATCTTCTTCAACAAAATTTGCTGAAAAATGTCGACTAACATACATAAATTTCATATTAGGGGTTGGTAATCCTGTACGAACGAGTCTTTTGTGGGAAAAGTAGGTTGATTCGATCATCGATCTCCATTTTTTTGACAAGACTTTGAATCTAGCCAGTGATTTTAATGGAAGATGGTGAAAGATCTCTTCAACCATATCCTCTGATATAATTATTGTCTTAGGATTAAAATGTTTGTCATCCTCCATTCTTTTCCAACGATGATAATTCTTAGTTTAGATTTGTACTGTATATCTATATATAAAGAAAATAATGATCTAATCTTGGATTTTTAACTTTACATTTAACATTATTTGTGGCAAAAAAAAGATTTAACACTATTAATTTATTTTAGAATAATGAAGAATAAATAATTAAACATGTATATGGATATGCTATAAATAAATAAATGTTGATTAATATATGTATATATTACTCCTAAAAATAATGAAAATAAAAAGGGACAATTTATGATTAAATATGCTCTCATTTATTTTACATTAACAATTAATCCCTTACAATTAATTGTTGATAACTAATCTATTTATTTGAACCTTGATAGATTTCAAAATGAAAAATTCTTGGATTCACCCCTAGGGCTGAACCTTTTTTATTCACCCCTCTTAATTAACCAATCAGAAGATGCCATGTAATTTAATTAAACAAATTTAAAAAATTAATTGTATCTAAATATAATAATTAAATTAAATCATTAAAATAAATTATATAATAATATACAGGTTAAAATAAACCGAATAATAATATACGAGTTTATACGACGGTTTGGGTTTATGAAAATGGGGTTATGATTTAGATATTACAATTATTAGTAAATTATATATCGGTTTGGGTTTATAAGGGAGGGTTTAGATTTTTTAATTTAACGAGGCTAAATATCAGTTTCGGTTTAGGGTTTTACTTTTACAACTAAACGAGGTTAAGTGTCAGTTTGGGTTTATAAAGAAGAGGTTGGGTTTAGGGTTTATATTTTTCAATTTAACGAGGCTAAATATCGGTTTGAAGTTTATAAAGGTGGGTTTAGGGTTTAGATTTTACAATTAAATGAGGTTAAGTTTCGGTTTGGGTTTATAAAGAAGAGGTTGGGTTTAGTTTTGACAACTAAACGAGATTGTATGTCAGTTTAGGTTTATAAAGGACGGTTAGGGTTTAAATTTTACAATTAATTCAAATTTTAGATTTTTAATGATTCTAGTACTTAATATAAGAAAACATTACATCATTTTATTTCAATTATAAATCCCAACATAAACTACAAAATCCTTAACGAGTCACCAGGTAAAAAGTAAAACTATTTAAGAGAAAGTGACATTCAAGTTTTTATGCGTGTACGTGAAACGTCTCTTTCAACAATTGTGTACACAGAACTAAAGTGAAAACTGAAACCTTGAAAAAGTTTAAACGTGTTTCTTTGATTTAAATTGATTTTGGTGTATTGACGACTAGATGTGTAGGATGAAAAGATAACCTTAAGTCACGCTTGACACTAAATCTCTCTGCTATAATTTGTAGGTTTTGACCTTTGACGTGTGACATATTTTTTCTCATGCAGTTACAAATAATGAAGGGAGTGTGAATTTTATCATCTATATTTTGAGGTGTGATTCAATTGCATTCGAAGAATTAAACTACTAAACCGTGTACAATGAAAGCAAATCTGTCACTTTCATGCTTGGTGGTATCCAATAATCTCTATAAATAATATTAGCAAGTTTTTACGTACGTGTGACATATTTTTTCTCATGCAGTTACAAATATATAATTAAACAATATGAATTTTTTTCATCCATATTAATTATGACGTGTGATTCAATTGTATTCGATGAATTAAACTAGTAAAACGTGTAGGACGAAAGAAACACTGTCAAATTCATGTTTGATATCCAATAATCTCTATTCTAATTGGCTAATAATTTTAGTAAGTCTTTAACGTGCGGAAGTGAAACATCTCCTTTTGCTTTTTACATGTGTAAGCAATGAAATTAAATTAGATTAAAAGTTTACGCATTACAAGACTCAACAAGTTAAACTAAAGTCACCTACTCACAACAAACTCCTGAGATTTGCTATAAATACTTCACATCTGTGCATTTGTCTCCAACACAAAAAAAAAAACATATTATCATAAGAGAAGAAGAAAAAAAAAATGGTGAACACAAGTTTCGAAACACCTCCTGAAATGCATGTGGAGATTCTGGCACGGTTGCCTCTGAAATCCTTAATGAAATTCATGTCCGTCTCAAAGAAATGGGAATCTATCATACGTGGGGAACAATTCAGACGTGATTACTTGATCCAATCAATGACAAGGCCTCGAGTGTTGTTCGTCGCCAATCGTAGATACTTCCACAATTTCAAACCCGAAGCGCTCTTTCATTCTGTTTATCAAGAGGAACCATCGTCGTTATCTAGTGTACAGCAGATGCGTACATACGAAACACCACTTTATAAGGTTTCTCAACCCGTCCGTGGTTTGATATGTCATCAAGGAGATACTAATATTGTGATTTGCAATCCGGGTTTGAAAAAGTTTCGGAACTTACCGCAGATCGAAGTGCCTGAATTTGCATCCATGAGAAGTTTTTTCGGATATGATGAAGTTAAGAATGTATTCAAGGTGTTATGTATAACACAGTTAGTAAAATATCAGACAACTACTGAAGGTGATATACACAAGGTGAGATCGGATGTAGGACATCAGGTATACACGGTGAGATCGGATGTGGAATCTTCTTCTTGGAAAGGGATCGCATGTAATTATGATTATTCAGCAGTTACTGAAGGACTATTTAAAGGAGGTTTCTTGTACTATGGAGCTCAGTCCAATAATGACCAATCTGTGGTAATGAGTTTCAACGTGAGTTCTGAAGATTTTAGTGTCATTGAGTTGCCTAACGAAGTCGACTTTGATAATAATTGGAAATTGGTGAATTACAAAGGGGGTATTGCCTTGGTGGATGAGGACAACTTTGACATTCACTTGAATGGCAATAGAGTTTTTAAAATTTTGTTTAGGAACGAAGTTGCTGGAAATTGGGAGATAGAGACCATTGAGATTCCTCGTTGGAAAGAAACGGTTGATAACGAGGATTATCATTTTAAAGGTACCATTGGAACAGGAGAACTTCTTGTTTTCGTACCAACTCATGGTACTCGGTTCGGGAGAAGAGTGTTGTATTGCGATGAAGCCACAAAGAACCTCAGAAGATTTGATATTGAAGAAAGAATGATTGATGAAGATCATATTGTTCGAACCTTCTTTGATCATGTTGATAGTACTTGGCTTATGTGAAGAATATGACTTGGTCCAAGGTTATCAGAAACTCTCGTTGGTTGTTCAGTCTCTCAAGTCTTATTGGGATTGCTAGTTTTCATTTCTATTGTCGTTAATCGTCATTTATGCTAAATAATAATATCGTCTCTCAATTATATTACTATCTTATTGGGATTGTTCGTTGTCATTTTTGTTGTTGTTAATCTTTATATTTAATTATTTATGCTAAATATAACAAAACTGAAGCTTCCTAATACTACCCACACTTTACTCAAGCTAGATCATATTGTTTTCAACTACACAAAGAAAGTGCATTTGACTCGTGAAACAAAAAATATATACACTTTACTCAAGCTAGATCATATTGTTTTCAACTACACAAAGAAAGTGCATTTGACTCGTGAAACAAAAAATATATACCTTTAAAAAAACAGTTAACTTGAGTATCTTTATTTTGACGTGTAATTCAATTGTATTCGAAGATGAACATAAAGACCTGAGCTATGATGATCAATTCAAAGCAACAAGTCTGTGAAGGTCATGCTAATAATAACAATCTTTGCTCTGTTATTTATGTTCTTGAGAGAGAGAGAGATGGCTTTTATTAACAAATTTATGTTACAGATTACATACATCTATATGTGTATGTTAAAACTTATTAGCATTGATATTGAAGATATTACAACAAGTTTGATTACAACAAGTTTGATTTGTTTGACTCATCTTTGTCAAATCTTAAATTTCAATCTTAGGGTCTGTTTGTTGTAGGCAAATCTTGAAGATATTGGTATGGACATGGCAGACTTAAAGACACTTAACTACGATGATCTCGATAATTTTTCAAAGCTACAAAAAAGTCAGAGATATGCTGATATAATACAAAAAGTGGAAGAGGCTCTTGAGAAAGGAACTGTATTAGAGTACAAGAAGCTAATCGAGGATTGTAATCAGCTCTTAGTTGATATTGAGAATGAAATAGTCATCGTTCACAACTTTATCCGTGAGAAGTATAGACTTAAGTTTCAAGAGCTTGAGTCGTTGGTTCATCACCCAATCGATTATGTTCGTGTTGTGAAAAGAATTGGCAATGAGATGGACTTAACCCTTGTTGATCTTGAAGGCCTTCTTCCATCAGCTATGATCATGGTTGTTTCAGTTACTGCTTCAACCACGAAAGGTAACCAACTGCCTAAGGATGTTCTGCTAAAAACGATAGATGCTTGTAATCGGGCTCTAGATCTTGATTCCGCAAGGAAGAAGGTCCTTGACTTTGTTGATTATGTCATTGTGTGTGACACATACTGACATACATCTAAACTTAATGTGCTTCTATTCATAGCCATCTCATGCTTCGGAAACACCGTCCTCCTCTGCATCTGGATCGAAGTCTGTGGAAAACATAAAGCCTATCATTCCTCATGATTTGCATATGACTTAAGTTTCTACAAAGGGTGTTGTGATTCTCTGTTTTCACCTCTTTCTTCACGTCTCTCTCTTTGTTTCACTCTCTGTTTTGTTCTTGTTTAGAGACAAACACAAATGATGTAACTCTGTTTATCTTTGTCTTTAACTTACGAGAGTTACGACCTATTAGTTCTGTTATACCCAAACGAGACTCGAACTCCTATTGTTACAAAAAGTTATACTAAGACCACTCTAGTTTTTTTTGAGGTATTAATCGACTTCTCAACAATCTAATGGTTTCCCAATTGGTCATAAGTATTATAATTATATCTTCTAAACACCCAAGAAAGTAGCAGCCATCAACTTAATACTCTAAACTTGCTTTCTCTATATAGTTGCAGACCGAGCCATCTAAAGTAGCCAGCGACCTAAGCCCGGGCGGTCACAAGAGTTTCTTGTAAACATGGTTTTGAAGAAACTAAAATGGTAAAGGTAATGGTGTAATAGAAGATTAGGATTTGCAAAAGAGTAAATCTTATGGCGGTTGAAATAATATAAAACAGAAGATTTGGTTCTCGAAAGAGCGGCAACTAAACGGATAGGTGGCGGTTTGAAATCTGCGGTTGGCTATATATATATATATAACTTTCTCACCAAACTTGTGCAGGACCATGTTGTACGCATTTCTGAGCCAATATACACAATAACTCAATTTAGACAACCAAATTAACACGAAACCTAGCTGAATGAAAGAAAGACTAACACCAACAGCTCAAATCCAGTATTGATTCCAGAATCATTACCAATTTGTACAAGAAAGGTAAGAGAATATAAGAAAAGACCTGTAAAGTTCTTCGAAACTGAGACCGCTAGCATCTTGATTATAAATCTGATGGATCGCACGCTCAAGAATCTGCCAAGTTTTATCAGCGTATTTGGGATCTACAACGACGCGATGCTTAAACGCCTCTATCTGAAAATTCCTCTTCTTCTGATTACTCATATTTTGAAACCTGAATCCAAAGCAAATCGACTCAAATCAATCTAAATTCCAAAAACACAACAACGAGAAGGAGGTATATATAAAATCATAACAAAAATCAGGTGGATCGAGGAAATCGGAAGACTGACCGGAGAGGAAAGACGGATTATCGGATTAGGGTTTGGAATTGTATTCTTTGCTTCCGATAATAGATTTGGGGGAAAAAAAAGGTTATGAAATGGAATAATAATCGAAAAGTTGAAAGGAGAAAGAAGCTTAAGGATATTTGCAGCGTCGGCGTGTAAGAAGAGATATAGATAGAGATATCGGAGAAGATAGATTTCGAAGGTGGAGAAGAAGAAGAGGACAGACAAACGGAGCGGAAGAAATAAAAGTGGACTCTCCGTCTCGTGGTGGTGGTTTCGAAACTATTAGATCTTTATTAAATTAAATTCACAATTATGTATGTCTCGTCCTTTGGAGTAGTGGTTAGTGGATTTAAGAATTTATCAGCTCATGGATCGACCCATCTCCGATCTATTCTCTTTTTTTCGACATTGGTGGTTTTGTTTAGGTAGCTTTTACTTTTTGGATATGACTAATTGGTACATTTCATTTAATTGAGCTTTGGTTTAATGTACGAAAATAACTCATATTTGAATTTTTGTCATCACTAAAATCCTCTATATATTAAAAGAGATTTTTTAGTGTTTACGTGGCAAACCCACAATTTTTCTCAACTATTTTATTTTTATTTATTTAATTTTACTATTCACATTACCAAACACATTTATTTTTAAATAGTTTGCAAAGTTAAATTTTGATAATATTGTTATGATTGAAATTACATATTGTGTTCATTGTTCCTAAGTAATGAATCGGCTCTCTCTCACTACTTTCTAGGCTTTTAGGTTAGGGTTTAAATTTTACAATTAATTCAAATTTTAGATTTTTAATGATTCTAGTACTTAATATAAGAAAACATTACATCATTTTATTTCAATTATAAATCCCAACATAAACTACAAAATCCTTAACGAGTCACCAGGTAAAAAGTAAAACTATTTAAGAGAAAGTGACATTGAAGTTTTTATGCGTGTACGTGAAACGTCTCTTTCAACAATTGTGTACACAGAACTAAAGTGAAAACTGAAACCTTGAAAAAGTTTAAACGTGTTTCTTTTATTTAAATTGATTTTGGTGTATTGACGACTAGATGTGTAGGATGAAAAGATAACCTTAAGTCACGCTTGACACTAAATCTCTCTGCTATAATTTGTAGGTTTTGACCTTTGACGTGTGACATATTTTTTCTCATGCAGTTACAAATAATGAAGGGAGTGTGAATTTTATCATCTATATTTTGAGGTGTGATTCAATTGCATTCGAAGAATTAAACTACTAAACCGTGTACAATGAAAGCAAATCTGTCACTTTCATGCTTGGTGGTATCCAATAATCTCTATAAATAATATTAGCAAGTTTTTACGTACGTGTGACATATTTTTTCTCATGCAGTTACAAATATATAATTAAACAATATGAATTTTTTTCATCCATATTAATTATGACGTGTGATTCAATTGTATTCGATGAATTAAACTAGTAAAACGTGTAGGACGAAAGAAACTCTGTCAAATTCATGTTTGATATCCAATAATCTCTATTCTAATTGGCTAATAATTTTAGTAAGTCTTTAACGTGCGGAAGTGAAACATCTCCTTTTGCTTTTTACATGTGTAAGCAATGAAATTAAATTAGATTAAAAGTTTACGCATTACAAGACTCAACAAGTTAAACTAAAGTCACCTACTCACAACAAACTCCTGAGATTTGCTATAAATACTTCACATCTGTGCATTTGTCTCCAACACAAAAAAAAAAAACATATTATCATAAGAGAAGAAGAAAAAAAAAATGGTGAACACAAGTTTCGAAACACCTCCTGAAATGCATGTGGAGATTCTGGCACGGTTGCCTCTGAAATCCTTAATGAAATTCATGTCCGTCTCAAAGAAATGGGAATCTATCATACGTGGGGAACAATTCAGACGTGATTACTTGATCCAATCAATGACAAGGCCTCGAGTGTTGTTCGTCGCCAATCGTAGATACTTCCACAATTTCAAACCCGAAGCGCTCTTTCATTCTGTTTATCAAGAGGAACCATCGTCGTTATCTAGTGTACAGCAGATGCGTACATACGAAACACCACTTTATAAGGTTTCTCAACCCGTCCGTGGTTTGATATGTCATCAAGGAGATACTAATATTGTGATTTGCAATCCGGGTTTGAAAAAGTTTCGGAACTTACCGCAGATCGAAGTGCCTGAATTTGCATCCATGAGAAGTTTTTTCGGATATGATGAAGTTAAGAATGTATTCAAGGTGTTATGTATAACACAGTTAGTAAAATATCAGACAACTACTGAAGGTGATATACACAAGGTGAGATCGGATGTAGGACATCAGGTATACACGGTGAGATCGGATGTGGAATCTTCTTCTTGGAAAGGGATCGCATGTAATTATGATTATTCAGCAGTTACTGAAGGACTATTTAAAGGAGGTTTCTTGTACTATGGAGCTCAGTCCAATAATGACCAATCTGTGGTAATGAGTTTCAACGTGAGTTCTGAAGATTTTAGTGTCATTGAGTTGCCTAACGAAGTCGACTTTGATAATAATTGGAAATTGGTGAATTACAAAGGGGGTATTGCCTTGGTGGATGAGGACAACTTTGACATTCACTTGAATGGCAATAGAGTTTTTAAAATTTTGTTTAGGAACGAAGTTGCTGGAAATTGGGAGATAGAGACCATTGAGATTCCTCGTTGGAAAGAAACGGTTGATAACGAGGATTATCATTTTAAAGGTACCATTGGAACAGGAGAACTTCTTGTTTTCGCACCAACTCATGGTACTCGGTTCGGGAGAAGAGTGTTGTATTGCGATGAAGCCACAAAGAACCTCAGAAGATTTGATATTGAAGAAAGAATGATTGATGAAGATCATATTGTTCGAACCTTCTTTGATCATGTTGATAGTACTTGGCTTATGTGAAGAATATGACTTGGTCCAAGGTTATCAGAAACTCTCGTTGGTTGTTCAGTCTCTCAAGTCTTATTGGGATTGCTAGTTTTCATTTCTATTGTCGTTAATCGTCATTTATGCTAAATAATAATATCGTCTCTCAATTATATTACTATCTTATTGGGATTGTTCGTTGTCATTTTTGTTGTTGTTAATCTTTATATTTAATTATTTATGCTAAATATAACAAAACTGAAGCTTCCTAATACTACCCACACTTTACTCAAGCTAGATCATATTGTTTTCAACTACACAAAGAAAGTGCATTTGACTCGTGAAACAAAAAATATATACCTTTAAAAAAACAGTTAACTTGAGTATCTTTATTTTGACGTGTAATTCAATTGTATTCGAAGATGAACATAAAGACCTGAGCTATGATGATCAATTCAAAGCAACAAGTCTGTGAAGGTCATGCTAATAATAACAATTATTGCTCTGTTATTTATGTTCTTGAGAGAGAGAGATGGCTTTTATTAACAAATTTATGTTACAGATTACATACATCTATATGTGTATGTTAAAACTTATTAGCATTGATATTGAAGATATTACAACAAGTTTGATTACAACAAGTTTGATTTGTTTGACTCATCTTTGTCAAATCTTAAATTTCAATCTTAGGGTCTGTTTGTTGTAGGCAAATCTTGAAGATATTGGTATGGACATGGCAGACTTAAAGACACTTAACTACGATGATCTCGATAATTTTTCAAAGCTACAAAAAAGTCAGAGATATGCTGATATAATACAAAAAGTGGAAGAGGCTCTTGAGAAAGGAACTGTATTAGAGTACAAGAAGCTAATCGAGGATTGTAATCAGCTCTTAGTTGATATTGAGAATGAAATAGTCATCGTTCACAACTTTATCCGTGAGAAGTATAGACTTAAGTTTCAAGAGCTTGAGTCGTTGGTTCATCACCCAATCGATTATGTTCGTGTTGTGAAAAGAATTGGCAATGAGATGGACTTAACCCTTGTTGATCTTGAAGGCCTTCTTCCATCAGCTATGATCATGGTTGTTTCAGTTACTGCTTCAACCACGAAAGGTAACCAACTGCCTAAGGATGTTCTGCTAAAAACGATAGATGCTTGTAATCGGGCTCTAGATCTTGATTCCGCAAGGAAGAAGGTCCTTGACTTTGTTGATTATGTCATTGTGTGTGACACATACTGACATACATCTAAACTTAATGTGCTTCTATTCATAGCCATCTCATGCTTCGGAAACACCGTCCTCCTCTGCATCTGGATCGAAGTCTGTGGAAAACATAAAGCCTATCATTCCTCATGATTTGCATATGACTTAAGTTTCTACAAAGGGTGTTGTGATTCTCTGTTTTCACCTCTTTCTTCACGTCTCTCTCTTTGTTTCACTCTCTGTTTTGTTCTTGTTTAGAGACAAACACAAATGATGTAACTCTGTTTATCTTTGTCTTTAACTTACGAGAGTTACGACCTATTAGTTCTGTTATACCCAAACGAGACTCGAACTCCTATTGTTACAAAAAGTTATACTAAGACCACTCTAGTTTTTTTTGAGGTATTAATCGACTTCTCAACAATCTAATGGTTTCCCAATTGGTCATAAGTATTATAATTATATCTTCTAAACACCCAAGAAAGTAGCAGCCATCAACTTAATACTCTAAACTTGCTTTCTCTATATAGTTGCAGACCGAGCCATCTAAAGTAGCCAGCGACCTAAGCCCGGGCGGTCACAAGAGTTTCTTGTAAACATGGTTTTGAAGAAACTAAAATGGTAAAGGTAATGGTGTAATAGAAGATTAGGATTTGCAAAAGAGTAAATCTTATGGCGGTTGAAATAATATAAAACAGAAGATTTGGTTCTCGAAAGAGCGGCAACTAAACGGATAGGTGGCGGTTTGAAATCTGCGGTTGGCTATATATATATATAACTTTCTATTGCGATCAATCATCATCCTCTGCTTTCATTTATTGTTCTGTTACTGTTAGGCTGAAATTTTGTAACTTTGCAAGTACGTAAACTAATAGTACCATTCTGAATAGTATACTTAATAATAATAACATTACAGCATTTTATTTCAAATTTACATCCCGACATAAACCAAACAATTCTCAAGGAGTAATAGGATAACAAATAGATAATTTTTTAAAAAAATTGGTAACTAAGTTTTTATGCGTATTATACGTGAAATCTCCCTGTTAACAATTGTGTACAAAAAATTAAAGTGAAAACTGAAAACCATTAAAAAGTTAAAACGTGTTTAGATATTTGAAATTGATTTTGTGGGTTGAGTGTATGATGAAAGAAAACCTTTCATGTCACGTTTGACACCAAAATCTCTCTTTTTAATTTAGTCATAAAAATTAGTAAGTTTTGAAGTGTGACAAAAAAAAAATAATCTCTATGCTAATTGGCCAGTAATTTTATACTTGGTATCCAGTAATCTCTATGCTATAACCGTGTATGATGAAAAGGAATATGTCACTTTCATGCATGGTATCCAATAATCTCTATGCTAATTGGCCAGTAATTTTAGTAAGTCTTTTACGTGTGGAACCAAAGTTTCTCCTTTTGTTTTTTAGATGTAAGCATGAAACTAAATAAAATAAAACTTAAAGTGAAGATTATTAACGCGTTACACAACTCAACAAGTTAAATTAAAGTCACCAACTCACAACAAACTCTTGAGATTTGCTATAAATATATCACATATGTGCTTTTGTCTCCAACGACACAAAAAAATATCATTAGAGAAGAAGAAAAAAATGGTGAAAACAAGTTTCGAAACACTTCCTTTAGATATGCAAATGGAGATTCTGTCACGATTGCCTCTGAAATCCTTAATGGGATGCATGTGCGTCTCAAAGAAATGGGCATCTATCATCCGTTCGAAAGCATTCAGAGATCATTACTTGAGCCGGTCGATGACAAGGCCTCGAGTGTTGTTCGTCGCCAATCATAGAGAATTCCACAAATTCACATCCGAAGCGTTCTTTTACTCTGTTTATCAAGAAGAGGAACCATTGTGGTTGTCTGGTAAACAGCAGATGCGTAGCGAAGAAGTACCACTTCTTAAAGTTTCTCAACCCATCCTTGGTCTGATCTGTCAACAAGGAAATACTAAGATTGTTATATGCAATCCGGGTTCGAAAAATTGTCGGACTTTACCGCAGATCAAAGTGCCTAAAGGAGCATCCATGACAAGTTTTTTCGGATACGATAAAGATAAGGATGTATTCAAGGTGTTATGTATAACAAAAGCAACTAAGGAATATCAGGTATGTACGGTGAGATCGGATGAAGAATCTTCTTTTTGGAGACCGATCAGATATGAGCATGACCATGCACCAGTTACTGAAGGACTATTTAAAGGAGGAGTTTTGTACTATGGAGCTCTGTCCACTAGTGACAAATCTGTGGTCATGAGCTTCAACGTGAGTTCTGAAGAGTTTAGTGTCATTGAATTGCCTAACGAAGTCAAAATTGATCATCATTGGACATTGGTGAATTACAAAGGGGATATTGCCTTAGTGAACAACTCTGACTATAAATTGAATCGCAATGGAGTTTTTATAGTTTTGGTTAGGAAGGACGTTGCTGGAAATTGGGAGGAGACAGGATTGAGATTCCTCATTGGACAAAAACGGTTGATAATAAGAAGTTTTATTTTAAAGGTACCATTGGAACAGGAGAACTTGCTTTCGCACCAGAGAGAGGTACTTGGTTCGGGGGACCACTCTTTGTGTTGTATTACGATGAAGCCTCAACGAACCTCAGAAGCTTTGAGATCAAAGGAATGGTTCCTCAAAATCATTCTGTTCGAACCTTCTTGGATCATGTTGATAGTACTTGGCTTATGTAGTTATGTGAAGAATACAAGTTGGTCCAATGATTATCAGAAACTCTCGTTGGTTTTTCGGTCTCTCAAGTCTTGTTGGGATTGTTAGTTTTCATTTCTATTGTTGGTTTCCATTTCGTTAATCTTTATTTATACTAAATAATAATGTTGTCTCTGATCAAATAGTACTGGTCTTATCGGGAGTGCTAGTTTTCATTTCTATTGTCGTTAATCTTTTTTTTTTTTTTTTTGAAATAACAAAACTAAAGCTTCCTAATACTACCCACAATTTACTCAAACTAGAGCATGTTCTTCTCAACTACAGAAAATGACATTTGACTCCTAAAACAAAACGTTGCTAAAAGAAAAACATAAGATTTCCCGATTGGTTGCAATAGAGAAACACAAAAATAAGAAATCTCTCAAGTGTTCATCAACTAGTCTACTTGAGTTAGAACTTCGATTTCATGATTGGTTGCAAGAACTATAATTACATCTTTTAAACGCCAAGAGAGTAGCAGCCACCGACCTAATACTCTAAAATTGCTTTCTCTTAACGTTGTCAGACCGAGCCATCTAAAGTTGCACTATCAAAACCATGACTCACAATCTCAGCCTCAATAATAACAAACCTGCGGTCATAAGAGTTTCTTTTAAACAAGATTTTTGGAGAACCTAAAAATGATCGGTAACAAAAAAAAACTAAGTGCGGCTAAAGATTTGGATTTGGATTTGCAATTGCTGAATCTTTATCCTCTGCTTTTGTTTATTGTTCTTTTATTGTTTAGCTGAATATTATCACTTTACTATTGTAAAGTAGATTTCTCATTAAACCAAAATGTAATCTTACAACTCATATATATAGTAAGTAGAATTAAGCAAAAGGAAACTTAATTCTATACAATAATACTTATATCTCAATATACCCCCCTCAAGCCGAATCTTGTGAATCTTGTTGAGGAAGATAAAGGCTTGACACTGATAATCGCCTAAGTATCGAGTGAAAAGGACCAGGATGCAGAGACTTGGTCAATATGTCAGCCAACTGATTTTCTGTTTCCACATGAAGAACTTTTAAGAAGCCAAACTTCACATGATCTCTAGTAGTATGGCAATCAATCTCCACATGTTTTGTTCTTTCATGGAATACAGGATTATTCGCAATATGCATTGCTGACTTGTTGTCACAGAACAGTTTATGCTGAAACTCCACCTTGATGTGCATATCCTTTAGCATTTGACTCAGCCAAAGCAGCTCTTTAGTTGCTAGAGCCATACTCCTGTATTCTGCTTCTGTACTGCTTCCACTTGCTACTTCCTGTTTTCTAGACTTCCATGAAATGAGTGATGTACCAAGAAACACACACACTCCACTTACTGATCTTCGAGTATCTAAGCAAGTTCCCCAGTCTGCATCCGCAAAAGCATTCAAACATAACTCTGTTTTTGCAGAAAAGAATAAGCCTTGACCCGGGTTATTCTTAAGATACTTCAAGATGTGTTGAGCTGCATTTAGATGTGCATCCGTAGGACATGACAAGAATTGACTCAAACAATGTACAGCAAAGGTAATGTCTGGTCTAGTGATGCACAAATAGAGCAGTCTTCCAATCAATTCTCTGAATGGCCTTCCATCAGTAAGTAATGTACCTGTTGTCTTGGTGTAAACAATCTTTGGATCCATTGGTACTGACTTTGGTTTGCAGCCTAAAAGACCAGAGTTGGCTAGCAAATCTAGGCAGTACTTCCTTTGGCAAACTGATATTCCATCAGAATTCCGAGCAATCTCCAAGCCCAGAAAAAATTTTGCAGGACCCAAATCTTTGATTTTAAAACGAGAAGCAAGAACCAACTTCACAGATGCTACTGCTTTCTCATCATTACTCACTATCAAGATATCATCTACATAGATCAATAAGGCTATGAAAGACGTACCAGTGAGTTTCACAAAGAGCGTGTTGTCAACATATGATTGAAGAAAGCCATCATCTAATAGAGTCTTTAAAAGGCATTTGTACCACTGTCTTGAGGCTTGCTTCAAACCATAGATGGATTTATGTAGTCTGCAAACCGGATTTGGAGGCAATGAACCTGAAGCAGATGTGTAACCCTCAGGTAAACTCATATATATTTCTTCTTCCAAGTCACTATGCAAGAAAGCATTAGTGACATCCATTTGAGTGATGCTCCAACCCTTTTTAGCAGCAAGACCAAGAACCAGTTTAACACTTGCCAACTTGGCTACAGGAGAAAATGTATCAAAGTAGTCAACTCCCTCTTGTTGTGTAAAACCTTTGGCAACCAATCGTGCCTTATAACGCTCTATAGATCCATCTGAATTATACTTAATAGTATATACCCATTTGCATCCCACTACATTCTTATTTGGGGGTAAAGAAACTACACTCCATGTCTTATTAAGTTCCATAGCACCTAGTTCCACATTCATAGCTCCACTCCACTGAACAGAGGCTATAGCTTCTTTAAAATTTTTAGGTTCTGTCTCAATCGAAATAGAAAGGACAAAAGCCTGGTAGGATGGTTTTATATTGGCATATGAAAGGAAAGAAGAAAGAGGATAGGGTGTAGTAATGACCTTTGGTGTAGAATTTGTATGAATGAGAGAACAATGGTAATCGGATAACCAGCCTGGAGCTTTAGCTGGTCGTTTAGGCCTGGCATTGTTCAATGAAACTGTAGTCGTCCCTGTAGTTAGAGCCTCAAGAGAAGTATTTGTGATACTAGGTCTTATTAATGATGATGATGATGATGCATTATGAGATGGATGTATATGATTTTCTTGAGAAACTGCAGGAACTTCTACATGCATATTGGAATCAAGAGTTACTGGTATAGGTAATGGTAAAATAGTATCATTAAAGAAATCATTATGATTTTTCTCAGTTTTAAAAGGAAATTCATTTTCATGAAACACTACATTGCGAGAAACAGATATTACATTTGTATCTAAATGCAAGACCTTATATCCCTTGTAACCAGAAGAATAACCCAAGAACACACACTTGTCAGCCCTTGGACTAAACTTATTCTTATTTTTCTGCAATGTTGAAACATAACAAAGGCATCCAAAAGATCTAAGAAAAAAATAATGTGGTTTTTTATTTGTAAGTTTCTCATAAGGACTCATATTATCAAGTAAAACAGAGGAAATGCGATTTATTAAAAACACAGATGTGAGAATGCAATCAGTCCAATAGACTAGAGGAACATTGGATTGAAAAAGAAGTGCTCTTGCAACATTTAATAAGTGCTGGTGTTTGCGTTCAACAACTGAGTTCTGTTGGGGTGTGTAAGGACATGAAAACTGATGAATCATGCCATGTTGTTTAATGATGTCATGAAAAGCTAATTCAGGGGCATTATCAGTTCTAATTGCTTTAATATTCAAGTTATATTGAGTTCTAACCAGATTAATGAAAGCAGGAAACTGAACAGAAACTTCACTTTTATTTCTCAAAAGATATATCCATGTTACACGAGTGAAATCATCTACAATGGTAAGAAAGTACCTAAACCCCTCAACAGACTCTATAGAAAATGGACCCCAAACATCCAAGTGAATAAGATCAAATGGCATAGAGGACCTATTATTATTTGACTCAAATGATAACCTTTTTTGTTTTGCTAAAGGACATACATCACAATGAGACTCAGAAATGTTATTCTTAGACAAAGAGAGTGTACCAGAAAGAACTTTTAACTTGTCAGAAGATGGGTGTCCTAGGCGTTGATGCCATAGATGTCCATCTACCGCCAAGGATCCAGAGAAATGTAATGATGTTGCAGGCATAAGTGGTGCAGGAGATGATGCATCAAGCTGTAAGATGTAAAGATTATGCAGAAGAACTCCTCTACCAATCATCAAGCCCTGAATAGACTCCTGAATGAAGCAAAAATCCGGATAAAAATGAGCTGACAATTGATTATGTTTTAACAAGCTACTAACATAAATAAGATTGAATTTAAATGAAGGAACATGTAAAACATCATGTAAAACCAATGATTCAGATAAATGCACTCTTCCACAATGCATGATGTCAACCCTAGTGTCATTAGGCAGTGAGACTGTAACACCAGACACTGTCACAGTTTCATTGAAGAATCCCAAATCTGAACAAACGTGACTAGTGGCTCCACTATCAATTATCCAACTACCATGAGGAAGGTGAGAATAAAGAGTAGAAAGACATTGGTGTTGAAAAGTAAGTTTATTGTTTTCATATCTAAGAGAAGTAGATGGAAATGAGACAGTACCAGATGAAGATTGAGGATCCATAGCCCATGTTCAATAATAGATGAAACTGATGAGGAAGGAGCTTGATGCTCTGAATCTTTGACATGAGTAGTAAGTTGCTGTAGTAAAGACTGTATCTGTTCATTGTTTATCTGCTGAAGATCCACATTATTCACTATATGAGTAACAGGTAAACTCTGTGAAATAAGAGGATTAGCAGAAACTGTTGAATTTTGCGGAATGATAGAAGTAGATACAGCTGCAGGTGTATTATACACACTTGGTGTAGTAAAAGGACCAGTCATAACATTTGCTACAGCATGTAGTGGAGGCATGGGACTAGAGAACTGCGCTCTAGGTTGAAAAGGCTGACCAAATGTTGGCCTTGTAGTAGGTGGTTGATAACCAGGGGAAGCTGGATTGCTCTTATAACCAGGAATATAGCCTGGTGGATATCCATGTAGTTTATAACACTTTTGTATCACATGACCACTGAGACCACAATGTGTACACAGAGGACGAGGTGCTCTTGGCCTGTAATGATTCTGCATTGCATAAGCACTGTTTTCAAGAGGACCACCATAAGAGTAGCTATTATAATTCCCCTGATTCTGAACATGATCCATAGTAGACTGAACATTATCTGAAGCTTGAAAAACCACATTCTCACTTTTAGCAATTGGCTTAATGTTCTTCTGACGTTCATCTTGAGTTACCATATTGAAAACCTCCTCAATAGAGGGAATAGGTTTTAGCATAAGGATATGTCTACGTGTAGCATCATAAGAGTCATTAAGACCCATCAAGAACTTTGTCACACGACTCCTAGCTTGCAACTTCTCCCATAAACCAGCTGCATTGCACTCACATTTCCCACAAGTGCACAAAGGCAACTCAACATAGTTACGATATTCTTCCCATAAGGTAACTAACTCTGTATAGTAAGCACTAACATCCATTGAACCCTGTTGAATAGCACTTAATCTCTGTTCTATCTCAAAGATCCTAGGTGCATCATCTTGCTTAAACCTTGACATTAAGCTATTCCAAATTCCTTCCGCAGTCGAGATAAACAACAAGCTTTGACCAATTTTCTTGCTAACAGAATTCATTAACCAAGTCGCTACCATATCGTTGCATCGCGACCAAGATCCATAATCTCTATGACTATCAGAAGGTTTAGTAATCGTACCATCAATGAATCCAAGCTTATTACGCACATTGAGTGCCATTCTCACAGAACGCCTCCATGAATGAAAATCTGCACCGTTATTAAGTCGATCAGAAACCAAAGCTAGACCCGCATGATCAGAGTTATGAAGATAATATGGATTATCGTATTGATCCGTCGATGTACGTGAAGATTCTCCAGTCGCAGCCATTTTTGAGATCAAGAAAGTGTGAAAAAACAAACGAATAACCAAATCCAGGTAAGTGAAAGATGAAATGATTGAAGCGGAATAAGATTCAATGTGAATCGATGAAGAAGATGAGAAAGAAGAAAGATCGATAGATTGATGTTGCGTATCGAATTGATGAGAAAATCAGCAATTTGAGCTGAGAAATGATGATGAATGAAGATATCGATTAACGAAATCGATATTGATAAAGAAGATCTGAAGATGGATGAAGAAAGAATCGAAGAAGATGATGGATGATGAATTTTCCTGGAAAATTTGGTTGTTACAACTTTCCCGAGAAAGTGAATGAGAAAATGAGCTTTCTTTGCTCTGATACCATATTAACACTTTACTATTGTAAAGTAGATTTCTCATTAAACCAAAATGTAATCTTACAACTCATATATATAGTAAGTAGAATTAAGCAAAAGGAAACTTAATTCTATACAATAATACTTATATCTCAATACTGAACTTGGTAATCTCGAGAAGTACGTACTTAAACCTATAATGACAATCTAAATAGTATATTTAATAATAATATGATAACAGTCCATTCTTTTATTCAATTTTAAATCCTAACATAAACCAAACAATCCTCAACGAGTAACTTGATAAAAAAAAAAAAAAAAAATTAGAATGTGCAGTTAAGTTTTAATCCGTATACGTGAAACCTCCCTGTCTACAAAATTATGTTCAATGAATCCAAATGAAAACTGAAAACCTTTAAAAAAGTAAAACGTGTTTCTATACCTAAAATGATTTTTTGGATTGACGACTGAGATGTATACGATGAAAGAAAAGTTTTTAAGTCATCCCTGTGATAAAACTAAAAACGTGTTTCTATAACTAAAATGATTTTTTTTGTTCATGCAATTACAAATAATTAAAGTGGGATCCTTTTACAAATTTTTTTTACTAAAACGTGTATGATGTAGGAAAATCTGTCAATGTCATACTTGGTATCCAATAATCTCTATGCTAATTGGCCAATAATTTTAGTAAGTTTTTAACGTATTTGTGGAACTAAATTTTCTATTTTTGTTTTTAGATGTAAGCATGGAAATAAATTAAAGTAAACTAAAAATGTAAGCGTTTTACAACTCAACAAGTTAAACTAAAGTCACAACGTTGGTAACAAACTCTGCTTTCTACAAAATATCACATCTGTGTTTTTGTCTCATACACATAATAATATCATTAGAGAAGAACGAAAATGCATTTGACTCGTAACACAAAACGTTTGCTAAAAGAAAGCTATAAGATACCCGATTGCTGGCAAGAGAGACTTCTGGTTAAGGAATCTCTCAAGTTAACCAGAAGTCGAGTCAGTGAGTTCCACGCGCGGGCGACTTCTCTCTCAAACCCAGTCAACTGCCAAACCCTATATCTGCTTTCCTCTGCCTCTCCGGCGTGCTTTTCCGGCGTCGGAGAGGGCTTTGCCTTTTGTTTTTTCTTCTGGTCTTTCTCCTCTGTCCGTTGTTTCCGTTCGTGGTGGGTGATGGCTCGCCGTATCCTTACCTTCTCGTCCTCCAGGTGGTGGTAAATCAAAGCTCAGGCTTCGCGTAGTGGCTAGGATAGACGCCGCGGCTTGTTGTTGCTTCGAATTGTGGCTCGAGGAGACCTCGTTTCGATGGCTTTCAGATGGTTGCTTTTAGTGGTCGTCCCTCTGTGCGTGTTAGATCTGAGAGTTTGGTTTGTGGTTGTGGCTTTGTGGAGACAGCGGAGGGGCTCCGGACTTCCTTCACGGTGGTTAGCTCCGGCGAATTTGTATTTTGGATGGTTCCGTGTCATCTGATTTCAGATTCTCGCCTCTTTGGTTTTGGGTTGGTGTCCGCTTCTCACCAGAAATCTCGGTTTGGGGAGTTTGGTGAAGCAGCATGTGGTGATTGGCTCGATTTCTTCTTCCTCGCCATGGAAAGGGCTTGGTCTGGTTCTTTGTCGACGGATCTAGAATTGGCCTTCTCTTTCTCGAGGCGCGGTACGGTGGTTTGGCGAGGCATCAAATCTGAGGTCGTCATGATGTCACCCAATGGCAGCGAGGACTTGAGGACTAGTCTGGGGTCATTGTGTGGCTGATCTTCTTCGGCTTTTAATGCTTTGCGAGGTAATTGCGTTCTCGGTGGTGTAAGGCTTTAGTTGTCGTCAAAGTCTGTTGCTCTTTTGTAGCAGCTTTAGCGGAGTTGCTTGGGGAAGTAGTGGCTGCCGGTGGTGGTCTTGCTTTCATCTCCAATTGCAATTGTCTCCGGTCGATTCTCGTATCGTTTTCTTTGTCTTTTCAAGGATTTTTTTGGGATCCTTATATGTTGTCTACGTGACTTAAGCTCTTGGTTTGGATTGCGTTTAGTTTGTCGTCTCGTTTTCCCTAGGTTATGGAGGAGCTAGTAAGATCATTGGGTCGTTTGGTGCTGTTTCGTATTGTAATATTTTCGCTCTGTGCTAGCCGACTACGAGGTTGTACTTGGTAGAGGGAGCTAGTGCTAAACGTGTACATTGGTTCGTGTGGCTCCATCCTGAGATCGCTCATGGTTTCGCCGTTGACAGCTCAGTCCTTGGGCTTCCAGTGAAAGGCTTCCACTACTTTGGCTTTCGTTTTTGCAATCTTTTCAATATTTCATTACCGTCTTTCGTCTTCTGTAGCTCATTTCGGAGGAACTTCAGAATCGTGTATCACTTCATCTGACACCGTTTGCTTCAAGGCTTACGTTGAGTCGATGGACTGATTGTTTTTGCTTCCATGTTTTTATCTTTTTTTTTTGCCATGGGACCAAATTTTTTAGGTTTAAAATCGATGATTGTAAACCTAAACATTTCATTTTAATGAATATTTACATTCTTAGCAAAAAAAAAAATCTCTCAAGTGTTCATCAACTAGTCTACTTGTAGTTAGAACTTCGACTTCCCGATCGGTTGCAAGAACTATAATGCAAGACTCATCTTACCAAACAATTTTGTTTACCAAAAAAAAAAAACTATATTGCAAGAACTATAATTCTTCCTCATACTCTACAATTGCTTTCTCTTAATGTTCCCAGAACGAACCATCTAAATTCGCACCATCAAGACCATGACTCACGACCTCAGCCTCAAAAACAAACCGGGTGGTCATAAGAGTTTCTTTTTTTTTTTTTTTTGGGCAACATAAGAGTTTCTTTTAAACAAGGTTTTGGAGAACATAAAATGATCGGTATAGCAGAAAACAGAGTGCGGCTAAAGATTCGGATTTGCAATTGCTACGTTGTTTTTAGTTGCGATCAATCTCTATTCTCTACTTTGGTTTATTGTTCTTTTACTGTTTGGCTAACTTTGTGAAGTACTTATAACCCCCGTTCTAAAAATCCCCGCCTAGTTCCGATTACTCCCCGCTTAATCGCTAGGCCCACCCTCTCCCCCTCGATTAATGACTAATCCCCTAAAAAATCAGTAACCCAATTATTCTCCGCCTAATCCGATTATTTTCCGCCTAATCCGATTATTTTCCGCCTAATCTTACATACCCCGATTATTTTTTAGATTGCAAGTATAAAAAAAACATTTTATTTTTGTTATTCAATCATTTGAATTGGGAGTTTGTGATGTTTTACATAACTTGTGTTCAAATTTTAATAAAAATCATAAAAATTTGTTTTTACTGTAATTTTGAAAACAATATTGAATTAATATATTTTAAAAATATTAAAATAACCCTAAAACTAATCCCCGATTAATCCCCGATTTTAATCCGATTTTCCGATTAATCGCTAGGCCCATGCCGAACGCCCGACTAGCGCCTAGCGATTTTTCAAACAAGGCTTATAACCAACAATAACACTTTTAATAGTATGATTAATAATAATAACATTACATCATTGTATTAAATTTTAAACCCTACCAATCTCCAACGAGTAACCTGATAAAAATTAAAGATATTTAAGAGAAGTGGCATGTAAGTTTTTTATGCGTGTATGTGAAACGTCCCTTTCCAAAGTTTTTATCATCTATATTTTGACTTATGATTCAATTGCATTCGAAGAATTAAACTACTAAACCGTGTACAATTGAAGCAAATCTTTAGTTATGCCAAATAATAATGTTGGGAGGCTGGGAGTGTTAGTTTTCATTTCTATTGTACTAAGCTAAATAAATAGACCGAGACACACTTAAGATAACTGTGTTCATAAGGCCCATATTTTGAGGTTTGAACTCGGCCCACATAAATTTTAGCTAGACCTGGCCTTAATTCAGGCTTGTGAAGCATTTATTTTGGTCCCTTGATTGCTAAAAACTTGTAGTTTTGTATTGTACACAAACAAGTTTTTTTTTTGTATTATTATTTTGTGACCTTTTGAAACATTCATTGATAAAAACATTTTATAACTCTCAGTTTTTCTAATAAATCATCTGTGATAAAAGTTAAAATGTTTTCACTTTTTTGTACGGATTTTTTTGGTTAAAAAATAATAATATAAAGTGGCATGGGATCAATCACATATATCCGCAATGATACATATCACATATATTCGCAATTATGAAAACACGGCCCAAAATATAAGACTTACACCATTATCGCCCACTACTAAAAAGTCTTTTGCATGAGTTAAACATTTTTTTATAATAAAATATATTAGAAGAAGAAAACATGATAATGAGATAAAGTTCTAAAAAAAAAAGTGGCAAGCCGATAGACTTGTGTGGTGGTATCCTACAACGAAAAAAAGAGAGTATTAAGGATTTGGAAGAACAGCGAGAGATCAAGTTAATTAGTTAATTAAGCCCATACCTATAAACACAAGATCACAAACTAAGAAACATAACAAACCACATTAATAATGGTGTACTATTTGATAATGATGCATCGACGTGACATCACCTTATTTACATTTCATTTTCATATACGTACGACATTACATACACATAATTGGCATTTTTTGTTTCTTAACATTTTCGGAAGCAACACGTTACTGTACAACATATCAATTACGACATGAACTCTTTCATGATATATTACCAAACAATGAAAAAATAAAGGCATTTTTCATGGTTCTTTAAAAAAAATGAAAATAAACTACTGGTATTTAATTAGGAACATTGATTTGTAAAACTAGAGATGCATAAAAAGAGAAGAAGAAGCTATCATGTTGTGAGGTAAAGAAAGCCTTTGGGTCAAAAACTCATTATAATACTTTGGGACAAACCACGTTTGCGATGGGGACCTTCATCATTTCATGTACAACTTCATACAAATTTTAATGTAATAAGGGACGTTATGATTATATTAGGCAGGTAATAATGTAAGAGACGATCATTTTTTATAGACAGGAGCATTCGAGTTCATTAGGCTTTCAAATTTAATTATATATTTGTTTTAATTGTATATATTGAGCTAGTAGAATTTTAATTTGAAATCTTGGTAATGCATTGTCTTTGAATTGTGTGTACTAACTACTAAGTCTTTTAATAATTTTTAAAAAAAAATCATTGTATTGTAGGGAAAAGAAAACTGTTTGTTTTTTTTTTTGGTTCAGCAAAACTAAGCTGAAATATTTTTTTCCTGCTTATTTTAGTTTGATTAATGCCTTAAAAAAAAACACTTCAGTTTTTTTAACTCTATATACTTGTTTTCCTCTATCTTTAACATCTGATACGGATCAAGCGAGCTTACAGCTTATATATATATTCTATTTGTTTTCATGACGACTTAGAGTTGTACGTTGCGACCGAGATCGATTAAATAGTTGGATCGCATGTGAACAGTTAATAATTAAGATATTTTTGTTCTTGGCAACTAATCACGATATACTCTCTTGTTTTGTTCTTATTGTTTTGTTTTGTCAATTACTCTGTTTTGAGTATTTTTTACAATTGCGGTTTCAACTTTACGTTTGTAACCATAGGTGGTGGGCTAGTGGTTCTAGTCTGGTGGAAGAGTCGCCATGTTGGTCTAGACCAGAAATCGATTCTTCTCAGACGCAGACTTGCTCAGATTTATCCCTTTGGCTACATAGGTATGGACCCATTGTTTACGGCCCATTTGAAAACCTAGGGGGGATTCTACCCGTAGAATATCCTCTCCCCAGAGATTAGTCTTAGGCCCCTCACCTAGGAATTTACTCTGAGTTAACAAAAAAAAAAACTTTACGTTTGTATATTTTAACCAAAATTCATTTTAATGTATAGTAAACCCTTAATAATTGATGTTTTGGTAAATAAATATTAAAGAAAAGTCCGCTATAAAAGAAGTATTATAGAAATGACAATGCTGAATCATTATTTATTAAAAATTATAACAAAGAGTTTAACTGATTATTCATTTCAGCTGTTAAAACTGTTTTATACGCGAAAGTTTTACACATATATATATATATATATATATATATATATATATATATATATATATTCAGCATTGAGGATTTGAGGTGGTGAACAGGCCCGGTCCTAGGATTTGTGTGGCCTAAAGCATAGTATAATTTTTTTAAAAAAAAATTGTTAATTTTGTCTAATCTTTTTCCAGTTTCCTGGATCATGAATATCCACATACTTGTGTTGATTTTGGGTGTCTCTCGAATCTTTATTCTCATGTTGTTCCATGTTCTCATCCATACAAACGTTTCCATGTCGGCCGTCAGTGTGAAACTCTTTTTCAACATCCTCAACATCTTCAAAAGCATGATTTTCATCGCCAACCTCGTTTATCTCATCTTCAACAATAACATCATCAGTTCTGGAATTTTTCGTTACCGTAACATACTTGAGCATGTCATTAGTTTGAGATTTAGTTGATTTTTCTTCCCTTTTTTTTTTTGTCTTTTTTCATAACCATGACATGAGCCTGTTTTCTGGTGCAAACTGGAGGCATCGTCTCCAAAAATAACAAAACATATAATTATAGTCACAACAAAGTTTTCAAATTCAATCCAAACACTTAAGTACAAAACTAAAATATAAAATTAAGTGAGAAAGTCACCGTCACCATCACGACATGATTTTGACTTTTGCAAATTGCAATCCCTAATCTCCAATTACATTCGTTACTTTCAAAAGTCAAAACATAACCTTTGATTTGATAATAATTCAAAACAATTGATGACAATATTAGAAGGATTAAGGACAAGAATTACCCAACAGCAGCAACAGTTTCTTACCTAACAGCGGCAATGATCGGAGACGGTGTTCTTCGTGAAAGATTTCTAAAAAAAATATTATACTAATACTTTTAACTTAGTTATAAAACAAAACAAAAACTGTAAGTCTGTAAAAAAAAAAAAAAAAAAAAAAAAAAACCTGTAGCAGACGGGATTCGAACCTGAAAAGCGACCCTAATATACTAAATACATAACCACCAGCCTAAAGAAATATTTTACAAATGTGGCTCTAAAACTTTTCTTTTATTGTGTGGCCTAAAGCAGAGCCCTAAAGCAGAGGCTTTGCCTGCTTTATGGGTGGACCGGGCCTGGTGGTGAAAAACAAATTTTAAGAAATTCACATAATCTAAATGATGCAGAACAATATTTGGATAATGTTTATCAGAAATCATAATTTACCAATAGTATATCTCAGTCAATTTACTATACATTTTTAGAGTGTATAAGTTTTTCAGAAATTCACTTTGTGCTATACAGTTTTAGACATTTAGTAACATTGATACTAAAAAAAATTTAGTACACGTTTGACGACGATTCAACGATCATAAAGGATCGGATTTAATATTAGAAACAAAATAATCATCACATTCTCTTGTTTTCTTTTCAATATTCTACCGAATTCAACAGATCCGAAAACTTTGTTAGTTTCCTAGCTATATAAAGAATATCTCATACACTTTCATCACTAAGGATTTCTAAAAAGAGAAGAAATCACATGAGTAATATGATTA